CCAGTTCCAGAAGGGATTCGTCCTCGCATCCGGTTGTTAGAATACTTACAGGTTCATGGGACTTAACAACTAAAAGGGTTCCGTAACGGGGGTTCCTTAAGGGGGTTCCTTAAAGCGTTCTACAAGGGATCTATGGTGGTTTGGGGTTTATGGGTCTACTTTGAGGCTCATGGGACTTAGTAGCTAAGGTTGTAAATCAGGTTGCTGTACATATAACTACATACTTACAGCCTCAGTTAAGGAACATATAACTGTACTTACCAAGTCCCATGAAACTCCAACACCTTCGAGCCGCAGCGGATCTTTTTTCGTCCCAAACCCCAAACCTCGAACTCTCTTCACCCAACCCGGACCGGACATTTTTAACTCTTAAACCCTAAACCCTAAACAGCCGGACCTAGTAATTACACTTCCCGCGTCAAAAGTTAAAAGACGACGTGCGAAAGGCTGCCAAGATATCTCTCTTCCGTTTAGTGCCAACTGCACCGATAGTAGGACCCTTTTTGAAACCTGTTAATGGGATCCTTACAGAACCATATCGTGGCACCCTTATAGAAAGCTTATCGTCAGACCCTCAATCAAACGCTATGGCTAGGGATTCAGGAATACAGATACAACCTACGTTTGGGTCAAAAGGCTTTGACAAGTTAGCTACTTTTCCTAAGGGTTCAAGCGACCTAATAATAATTAGGTACTTGGGTTTAGGATAGTAGTTTTGTGGGTTGAAAGTATATGACTGTAGGGCACTTGGACCCTTGAGCCCCATCTAGACTCAAGAGTAACCTAGGAATAAAAAGGATGCCCTTTTTTGGCTTAGAGGAGCCTATAAGGGAACCTGAACCCTAAAAAAGGGAATAGGGGCCTACTGTAGGTCCTAGCCATTGTTATCCTGCGAGCCTTGGGGTCTGTACCTGAACCTTCAACTCTATGAAAAGCTATCCTTAACCTTCCAGCCTAAACTCCAGACCCCCTATAGAATCCTCAGAATTCCCTCAAACGAACGGACTAGTAGACTAGGGTTTAGGGTTTGCAATCCTTTCCCCGAAACCTTTGAAGATGCTCAACCATGCCGCAAAACACCTGAACTGCACTGCTACTGTGACCCCTACACCTGTCTATGCGTTGCTCACGTGAGCAAGGACCCGAAGGGTCTATTTGCTCATATAGTCTTTATGCTGACCTTTGACGTTTGCGTTGTTCCTAGATAATACTTGATAAGGGGGTACGGGTGCCTCTGAGGGAATGGAGGGTACCTACTTGGAGGGAGATCATGTGATTTTGTTGAGCCTAGTTTATCACAAGACTGTAGCGGACCTTGCAGTACTACGAGCGCTGCTGAAAACAGCAGCGAAGTCTTTTCGGGTTTAGGCTTCAAGTTTGGAAAATCAAAACATGGTTCTGATGAGTTTCGTATGTGTACCACAACTTCAACAGAGACATCCCTCTACTGCCCACTAGTCCACAACAAGGGGATGGCTGAGGCAATAGACATGGCTTCGTGCAACGGAAGTGACCAAGTGGCCGCTGAGCACTTGCAGTCCCTAAACCCTAAACCCTAAACCCTGGTGGAATGATCAATGACAGGTTCAGCTTCTGTTCAGGCTTTAGGGCTTCCAAATAGAGTTGAGAGATTCTGGGTATGTGATGGTTTGGAAATAAGATGAACTATGGGTTCTGAGATTTAGTTTGAGCTCAGGATGCATAATTAAGGTCCTGCACCCCAGAAGCCACCAAAACCCTAAAACCCCATGAATAAAACATCCACCGGATAGGTCATGATTGCCAAATACAGCAAGGTTCAAACAAGGCTCCTTTCAGCTTCCTATATGTTGATGACAGGGCTCTTCCAAGTATCCATGAACCCTAAAGCCTAATTAAATCTTAAGAGTGTCCGGTCATAATGAAGGATATCCAGGGGATAGATTCAGCGAATTTTGTCAATGCCACAGCCTCAGCTGATCCCGCACAGAGGTACTGTCGCCACCGTTGTCAGCGTTACCCCAGGTCAGGACCGATCCATCGCCAACAATGGCAGCAAAGGCAAAGTAGCTTGGATCTGCTGCAAATTCTTCAGCTGAGCCTGCACAGCACTACTGTCACCACCAGTACCAGCGGCAGCAGCACCCAGGTCAAGACGGATCCGTCGACTAGAACCGCAGCAAAAGCGCCACCAAAAAAGTCTTTTGTCATTGTGGTCTGGATCTGCTGCACATTCTTCAGCTGAACCTGCACAGCACTACTGTCACCACCTTCGGCAGTGGCTTGGATCTGCTGCACATTCTTCAGCTGAGCCTGCACAGAACTGCTGTCACCACCATCGGCAGCAGCACCCCAGGTCACGACGGATCCGTCGCCAAGAATGGCAGCAAAAGCCCGGGCAGTGACTTGGATCTGCTGCACATTCTTCAGCTGAGCCTGCGCAGAACTGCTGTCACCACCATTGGCAGCAGCACCCCAGGTCACGACGGATCCGTCGCCAAGAATGGCAGCAAAAGCCCGGGCAGTGGCTTGGACCTGCTGCACATTCTTCAGCTGAGCCTGCACAGCACTACTGTCACCACCATTGGCAGCACCCCCCCAGGTCACAACGGATCCGTCGACAAGAAACGCCGCAAAAGCGCCGCCAAAAATCTCTGTTGCGGCCTGGATCTGCTGCACATTCTTCAGCTGATCCTGCACAGCACTACTGTCACCGCCGTGTTCAACACCACCCCAGGTCGCGACTGAGCCATCTCGACAGATGGCAGCAAAAGCACTGTCCGTGGCTTGGATCTGCTGCACGTTCTTCAGCTGAGCCTGCACAGCACTACTGTCACCACCATCGGCAGCAGCACCCCAGGTGACGACGGATCCATCACCTCGAATGGCAGCAAAAGCACCTCCGTAATTAGATCTTGTGGCTTGGATCTGCTGCACATTCTTCAGCTGAGCCTGCACAGCACTACTGTCACCACCACCGGCAGCAGCACCCCAGGTCACGACGGATCCGTCGCCAAGAATGGCAGCAAAAGCCCCGGCAGTGGCTTGGATCTGCTGCACATTCTTCAGCTGAGCCTGCACAGCACTACTGTCACCACGATCGGCAGCAGCACCCCAGGTCACGACTGAGCCATCTCGACGAATGGCAGCAAAAGCACAGTCCGTGGCTTGGATCTGCTGCACATTCTTCAGCTGAGCCTTCACGGCACTACTGTCACCACCATCGGCAGCAGCACCCCAGGTCACGACGGATCCGTCGGCAAGAATTGCAGCAAAAGCCCCGGCAGTGGCTTGGATCTGCTGCACGTTCTTCAGCTGATCCTGCACAGCACTACTGTCACCACCAAGGCGAGCATCACCCCAGGTGACGACGGATCCATCACCTAGAATGGCAGCAAAAGCACCTCCCCAAATACATCTTGTGGCTTGGATCTGCTGCACGTTCTTCAGCTGAGCCTGCACAGCACTACTGTCACCACCACCGGCAGCAGCACCCCAGGTCACGATGGATCCGTCGCCAAGAATGGCAGCAGAAGCAAAGCAAGTGGCTTGAACTTGAACTCGGTTGATGTGCAAGGTCAAGTAGTCTCCATCCTGGATCATGGTGTTCATGATGCACACGCCTTCGGCTAGCACGGTTCCGGACGAGTCCAGCAGACGCCCTCTTCCGACTCCAAGTGCAAGTTGTGCTTGCATTTTTAAACTTCCCACATCTTCTTCCAAAGCAGCTTTTAATTTAGCCGTCTTACCGCTGAGCAGGCTGACTGAAATTGTAATCGACATCTTGCGCGACGCAAGGTTTCGAAACCCTGGAGATCTTCAATCAAATATAGTTAGCATCTAGACTTTGATTGATACGGAGACTATATGATTAGATTATCCCTGTTATGCTTGTACTTTTTAATTACGTAGTTTACAAAAATGAAAACGATACTCACCAATGATACTGAACTACGCTTGGTCCGAGATGTCTGCAGTACATACATGAAGGAACACCATGGGATTTTCGGATCCAGAATCTCACCCAAAACCTTACACTAACCAATCCTTATAAACTAGTGCTCCACTGATTATGTGCTGCATTGTTTCCTTTAACTATAAGTTTGGGACATGCATTGGCGATTCACCTAAACCCTAAAAGCCTAAACACTACTTGGAGGGGCAGGGGACTTAGTAAGTCGTTTATAAGTTGGGTTCTAGTTGAGCTAACTCCATTTAGGGTACTTACATCTCTACTTATAACCTACTTACTGAGTCCCCTGCCCTTCCAAGCAGACCCTAAACCCCATAGATCCCTTTAAGGATTCCTATAGATCCCTTTAAGGAGCCCTTTAAGGAACCCTATAGATCCCGTCAAGGACACTAGACCCCAAACCCCAAGCCGCTCAGCTCTGAGTCCCTACACTGCTTGGGTCTTCGACCAGGATTAGACCCCTAAGGCTCCACGTACCTATAAGAGGCTTCCTTTAAAGGATTCCTTAAAGGGGTCCTCTAAAGGGTTCTATAGGGTTTAGGGTATAAGGGTCCATGGTATCTATATAGTACCTATAATAAAGGGATCTATAGGGTTTAGGGGTTTAGGGGTGTTAGGGGTTTTAGGGGTTTAGGGTTTAGGTAATGTAGGGGCCTTAAAAGAGTTCCTTAGCCCTAAGGCTCCATGTACCCATATAGTATATACTTAGGCCTTAAAGTACCTATATAGGGGCCCCTTTAAGGCCAAAGTATCTACTATGAAGGTACATGGGGCCTTTGAAGGGGACGGTTAGACTCTAAAACTAACCCTCTTGAACCATGTATCGATTTAGTATATGGGCCATGACGTACCTAACTAGGGACTATACTAAGGCCTCCATATATACTATATGAGCATCTGCCCCCTCAGGGTAAGGGGTCATCACCTGCCAATTTGTAAGGTTGGGGGCTACAGGGAAACCCTAAAGCTGATAGTTCCCAAACGTCAAAACCTGATCATGCCCCCTCAAGCCGAAACCCTGTGTCTATCACGCAAGGCCGAAGTCCACCTCGAAGCGAGAGAGATAGTTCGGATCTATGTTGATGATGGCTTCAAGCCTCTGCGTGAGCAGGTCGTTTCTCAACATACTTCAAAAGGCTTTGTAACTTATAACATCTCAAGCCCTAAACCCTCAACCGGAAGCCTACAAGACCCCAGATGGTTCACAAATAAAACAACAAATCGTATAAACGTACATGCTCGAGCAGATTTCAAGCTGTTACAATACATCGCCAAGCCAGACCCCTAAGTCCACGTTCCTGCGCCTGCGGGCCTCTACACCCCTAAACCCCACTTTAACCCCAGATATCCTACCTAGTGAAGGATGCATACAGGAAAGTCAGAATTAATTAAACATTTATGTTCTTCAGGGACCAGGTAAACTCTGTGCCTAAAATACCCAAGTTTTGAACCCTAACTGACTCTATACCCTGAAATATCCTGAAACCCTAAACCCCTAAACCCTAAATCCCCTAACCCCTGGATCCCTCATAGATTATAGGTTTTTTTTTAGGAACCCTAGGTAGATCCCTTCAAGGGAACCCTTGTGCGGCTAAGCTTAAGGCTTAAGGGCCCCAAAAAAACAGACGATCCTCTCATGTTGCAGAGACTTTGCCCTAAGGCTCCATGTGCCCGTAATACGGTCGATGATGTTTCAAGGGATCTATAATGGTACCTTTAAGGGGTTCCTTTAAGGGATCTATAGGGTTTTAGGGTGTATGGTTTAGGGTGATGATATAAATCCTGCGTTACCTTACGGACCCTCAACTATGGGAATTTTGGTATATTCCTTATTCTGGGTAATGCAGGATTTATATCATCAACCGTAGGGTTCCTTGAATTTCAGGGGTCCTTTAAAGGGTTCTATAGGGTTTAGAGTAGAAGGGGCCATGGTACCCATACAGTCCCATGTAGTAGATAGGCCTTAGAGTACCTATGTAGGGACCCCTTTAAGGCTGAAGTATCTACTACAAAGGTACATGGACCCTCGTACCCTAAACCCTTAAAGGAACCCTACTGTAAAGGGTCCATGGAGCCTTTGGTTTGGGTTGACTCAACTAAGCACCCGAGCCTAAATGCTGGAGACGTCGTCGTAGGAGTCGTAGTGGTAGTAGTAGTAGTAGTAGTAGTAGTAGTAGTAGTAGTAGTAGTCGTCGTCGTCGAAGTAATTAGTAAGAGTCGTGGGTGGTAGTAGTAGTAGTAGTAGTAGTAGTAGTCGTAGTAGTAGTAGTGGTAGCAGTAGTAGCAGCAGTATTAGCAGCAGTTGTTGTGGTACTTACGGCTATTTAGTACCAGCATTAGTAGCAGTAGCAGAATAGATTCAACTGCGATGAGCAGTAATCGGACACATGTGTATACGCCCGGAGCCTGTTCTCCCGGAGAGCCCGTTATACGGGCATGGGGTCCACTAGCTCCGCGACAAAGGCTAAACTGTAAAAGGGCACGGTTTAGGGTTTAGGGGTTTAGGGTTTAGGGTGTAGGGGTTTACGGTGTGGGGTTTAAGGTTATGATAGAATCCTCAAAAGCCTCAATAGAATCCTCGAAGAAGCCTGCACATGCGACTCGCTCTTCACTCGTGGTCGAAAACCTTTGAAGGAATCCTTAGAAAACAAACCCAGGATCCTTACATGGAGCCTAAACCCAAACCCCTAAATCCCTAAACCCTAAACCCAGACCCTGGACCCCCACGGAACCTTACCACTCCGAGCAGCGGATTTTCCACCGGCTTTGTGTGGGAGAGCCGAAAGCGCTTCGGTTCGTCCTGAAAGAGGTCCTGATGGTTTGGGTTTAGGCTCCACTTGGAGGTTCATGGGTCTTAGTAAGTACAGTTGTAAGTACCCTCATCGGGATAATAAGTACATGTAAGTGTAGTTACCTTACCTACAACCCTAGTTACTAAGTCCCGTGGACCTCTAAGTAGACCCTAAACCCTAAACCCTTAAAGGGAACCCCATTATAGAACCTATAGTACCCTTAAAAGAGCCCCTTATAACCCTAGTTACTAAGCCCCATGAACCTCTAAGTGGGGCAGTCGAGGGTTCAGGGGTCTAGGGCTTATAGGGTTTAGGGGTTCGGGGTCTTGGGGATTAGGGTGTAGGGGTTTTAAGGATTTGGCTTGTTGTTGAGGTTTAGGGTGAAGGGCTCAGGAGATAAAGATGCTTCGGGTGTTTGCTTCTCTTTCTTCATGGTATAGGGCTCAGGGCTTAATGTGTTCAGTTCAGATTTACAGTGAAAGCCAGTAAGTTGGAATATGATTATCCTAAACCCTTTATGGTAAATTATAGGGTATCCTACCCTGAAACCAGATTCCAACTTTCTGGAGTTCCCTTTAAAGCCTGTGAAGTTCGGGGTGAGGGTTTAGGGTTGGATTATAGGGCTTGTCAAACGGGCTTAGGCTTCAGAAGTAGCCGAACAAGACTCTCAAATAAAGGAACCCTTGACAGAAAGACCATGAAAACCCGAACTTTAAATCCCAAATAACACCGACACCAAACCCTGAACTTTTGACCCTGAATGATGTGAGCCTATACTCTGAACCCCAAACGCAACCCCAGCTAGGCGAGCAGCCGGATCTACAGCGTCATCATCGATCGAGAAGCGCTCCAAAAACAGCGCAAAGGGCAATGCCACCGGATCCTGGGGGCTTGGGATTCTTTTCTTTAAAAAGGTAGAGGGCTTGGGGTTCTTCAAAACAAAAAGTAGAGGGCTTGGGGTTCTTTTTGTTACCAAAAAGTAGAGGGCTTGGGGTTCTTTTGTTTAAACAAAAAGTAGAGGGCTTGGGGTTCTTTAAAACAAAAAATAAAGGGCTTGGGATTCTTTTCTTTTTACAAAAGTGGAGGGCTTTGGATTCTTTTCTTTAAAAAGTAGAGGGCTTGGGATTCTTTTCTTTAAAAACGTAGAGGGCTTGGGGTTCTTTTTTTAAAAAAAACTAGAGGGCTTGGGGTTCTTTAAAACAAAAAGTAGCGGGCTTGGGATTCTTTTCTTAAAAAAAGTAGAGGGCTTGGGATTCTTTTCTTTAGAAAAGTAGAGGGCTTGGGGTTCTTTTTTTTTTAAAGTAGAGGGCTGGTGTTTTTTAAAACAAAAAGTAGAGGGCTTGGGATTCTTTTGTTTAAAAAAGTAGAGGGCTTGGGGTTCTTTTTTTAAAGTAGAGGGGTTCTTTAAAACAAAAAGTAGAGGGCGCTTGGGATGCTTTTCTTCAAAAAAGTAGAGGGCTTGGGGTTCTTTGTTTTTTAAAAAAGTAGAGGGCTTGGGGTTCTTCAAAACAAAAAGTAGAGGGCTTGGGGTTCTTTAAAACAAAAAGTAAAGGGCTTGGGGGTTCAGGCTTTAGGGTTTCGGGTTTAAGGTCTGTTTAGGGTTCTGGGCTTAGGGTCTTGGGTTTCGGGTTTCAGGTCTGTTTAGGTCTCTCGGTCTAGGGTTTCGGGTTTAGGTCAGTTCAGGCTCATGCAGCTCAAATTCGAATATGCTTTGGCATTTCGCCGGTGTTGCGCTGGCGACATCAACGGTGGCTTCTCTTCAACATACCAAATATCACGCGTTTAAGTGTATAACATAAATATACTGTCATAGAATACGATACTGTACAGCATGGTCTAATGTAATACAAGAACCCATACATATAAACATACATACACATATGATTCAAATACAACCACCTTTGTTGAGATATACATGTAATCTTGTAATGTCGCTTGTATTTGTGATTGCAATCATACTCCTGCTCATATACGTATATATATATATATATATATACACACATATACATCTATGTGTGTATATATATATATGTGTGTGTGTGTTAAGGTGTAAGTTCCTGCTTTTAGGTTGAAACATACATGCATGATACACATAATGATGTGATATATGTACATACCACCCACATGTATAAGTGTATAACATTTATACATGATATGATATACCGTAAACCGTAAATATCAAAGATATACATACATACATACATACATACATAAAAACATGTATGTATGTATGTATAAATGTATGTATGTATGTAAGTATGTATGTAAGTATGTATGTATGTATGTATAAATGTATGTATGTATGTATGTAAGTATGTATGTAAGTATGTATGTATGTATGTATGTATGTATAAATGTATGTATGTATGTATGTATGTATGTATGTATGTATACATGTATGAACATAAATATCAATACGTAAATCTCTCTCTCTCTCTCTGTGTATATATATATATATAAATAAATACATATATCGTATATGATCCCGCTCTGGCCTTCTACCCCCCCCCCCCCCCCCCCCCCCCCCCGCCCACCGGAAACCCCCGCATCCGGTGTGGTGCGGTTCAGGCTTTGGGTGTGCTTGGAGTGGCTCCCCTCCCGCCCTGTGGTGTGGTGTGGTTCGCAGTTTGAGCCCGCCTCTGATGTTTGGCATATCATCATCACCACGTCTGCTTCCGCTTAGGTTTAGGGTTGAGGGGTTTAGGGTTCTTCTTCTTCATCATCATCAGTGGTTTGTATTTTTGGGTTGGCTTGGGGGTGCCTCCTGCCTCGCCCTGTGGCGTGGAGTGGTTCAGGTTTGGGTCCACTTCTCCTACTGTTCTGTGGTGCGGTCTCCTGCTTAAAGGCTTAAAGGATCATGGGACTTAGTAACTAGGGTCATAAATATGCTAACTATACTGATAACAATAAACCCAGTTGAGGTATTTATAACCTTACTGACTAAGCCCCATGACCCTCCAACTATAGGGCCTAAACGCAAAACCCGAAACATTAAACAGCCGCACAGTGAATGATAATAACACTGAGCTCAGGAACCTCCGACATCAATGTCCCAGAGACTTAAGGGATATATCTTAAATTATAGTAGGATTCCCTATACGGTTTAAGGAATATTCCTTAATTAAGGTATTTGGAGTCTCGGGGGTCTTAGAGTTTTCAGCGACGCAAATCCGGAGAAATCCTCCCAATGACTAGATTGCTTTTCTGGCTTGCACCTGTAGAAGCCCTCAACCCTGAACACGCTAAACACTGCCGGAAGCCTGATGCCTAGAGCCCCAGACCCTAACCCCAAAACCCTGAACTCTAAACCCCTAAGCCCGAATCCCTGAAACCCTAAACCTTAATCCCTAAACCCCAAACCCTAAAAGCCCAAAGCTCCAGACACCTTAGACCCAAACCAAATGCTATACTCTACAACCCTAACCCTTATAAGCAAATGACCCTATAACACTAAACCTCGTGACATTTAGCCCTATAACCTATAAGCCTATAATCCTATAAACCCTGACCCCAAGCCGCATACCACCGTTCAACCCTGAACTCTATGTCCTACAACCCTGGATCCACTGAGAGGCCATAAATGCCCAGAGACTCCAATATCCCTTAATTAAGGAATATACCTTAAATTATAGTAGGATCCTTCATATGATTAAAGGAATATTCCTCAAATAAGGTATAATGGAGTCTCTGGGTGGTCGATGCCTAGAGGCGAAGGTATGGCCCAAGATCCAGTGGTCCAGAGCTGAATTCCTAGGTTTAGGGTTTAGGCGGTTTAGGGTTTAGTGTTTAGGGATATGTGCTTTAGATTTATTGGAGCTAGGCCTGGCTATACGATAACAGGGTATAGGGATTAGGGTTCTAGGGTGTAGGGTTGTAGGGTTGCTCCCGAGGACCAGGGGACCTCAAAATTCCTGAAGCAGGTGTTGGTGAATCTCTTGTATCTTGCATAGAAGGCTCAGAAAATTGAAATTGAAATTGGTATTGGCAAACCCTAAACCTTGAACCCTAAACCCTACAACCCAAAGCCCTGAACCCTAAAAACCGTAAACTCCTAGACCTTAAAACCCTGAACCGTTAACCCTAGACCCTATGCCCTAAACCCGAAATTACCATAGACTATAGAGTGTAGAACGACTGGGAGGCGATCCCATTACGACTTATTCAGACCTCGGCGTTACCGTATTACCCTAAGGTACTCAAATAGCGTTCCTTTCAAGAGGTGCTTTCAGGGTTCCCTTCAAGGGCTTTATGGGGGTTCTATGGGATTTAAGGTATAAGGGTCCATGTACACAAATAGAACATTAACTTTGGCCCCAAAGTACCTATATAGGGACTACTTTACGTCCAAAGTATATACTATTTGGGTACATGGACCCTTATACCCAAAACCCTTTAGAACGCTTTAAAGGAGCCTTATTTGGGCACATGGACCCTGAGGGTTAGTTCCTTCAGACACGACCGTCGGAGTCTACTACAATCTACTTGGAGGTTCATGGGACTTTCTAAATACGGTTATAAGTACCTTGATTGGAGTTCTCTAAGCAATTTTAGGTATGGTTACCTTATCTATAACCCTGGCTGCTAAGTCCAATGATCCTTTAAGTACAATCTACTAGGTTGACGTTTTAAGCCTCTGAGTAAACTTCGTGAATAAGATCCTGTTTTGGCACAAGAACTAGGGCAAATATGAGCCTATGCTTCCAGGGACCTTATAATTGGGTCCTTAAGGGCTCTAGGGCCCTAACTATACGGTCTGTGGAAGCATGGGGCAAAAACGTCCACGAGGCCCAACATTCTGGTCCCCGAACCCTAAACCCCAAACCCTAAACCCTAAAACGTCGATCATCTGTTTGTAGTTAATGGGCCGAAGTTATATCAGGCAAAGACAACATTTCCTTACAACAGAAGCCTGTTCCCTAGGGCTCCAAGTACGGACTAATTCGGACTAACACGGTTTAGGGCTTAGGGGTGTAGGGTTTAGGGACGTTGAGAGTTTAGGAGGTATCCTGAAACTCCACATAAATGCAAATACTGTTGATGATATAAATCCTGCACTACCTTAAGGACCCTAAACTATGGGAATTATGGTATCTTCCTTATTATGGATAGTGCAGGATTTATAACATCAACCGTACTACCTCCCTTGGGCGATTTGGAGCCCCAGGGTTGCCCACAGACAGAAGCATAAACTTGTAACAAGTTTATGTTTAGGGTTTAGGGTTTAGGATTTAGGGTTTAGGGTTTAGGGTTTAGGGTTTAAACAATGTTTGGAGACACGACGTAATCGGGAAATGAGAGTTTCCGAAACTTAGGGGTACCTCATTTTGGGGTCCTTATAATAGCAAAGATCCTACTATTTAGGGTACTATATTCCCCTACTTTGGGAAACTCCCAAATATGGATGTGGTGCTTAGAGCTAGATGTCAAACTGAGCTTCAGCGGTCGGTGACCCCTTCACTGAAAGGGACGATGTATAGGGATAGCAACCCACAAAGCGCATGTCCCGCACGGTAGATTTTAGTACCGACGGCGTGGTCAAACCAGCGAACTTAACCAGACACGAGAAATCTCCAAACCCTGCATCCTGAACCGGGAATGTCTCAACTCCCAGAGTGCGAACGCCCTGCATCCTTAAAAGACCCTGAGTAGTAGATTCAGATTCACACCCTAAACCCTACACCCTAAACCACCCCTCAAAAGAGGCTGCGATCTTCACATAGGAGGCCCAAGCCCCAAATCCCTGAAAAAACCTTCCCTGAACCCTCACACACACTTCAAGCTAAAACCCTTTCTAGAACCAAATCCCATAAAGCCCCATGGTAACCAACAAAGGGTCCTCAACCCTTAGACCCAATCCCGGCTCAGGCCATCAACCCTCGTCTCCACATCTTATAGGATCCTTAAGGGAGGGTGGTTCAAGGGGGGAGGGTATAAGGAATCCTCAGGGGACTGTAAGGGGACCTAGGGAGTACTAGGGAGAATTAGGGATCACTAGGCTATACACCCCCCTTGGACCCCGCCTCCCTTAAGGATACTACAAACATCTCGTCTCCACATAGGAGTTTCCGAAAAATAGGGGACCCTAATATAGCACCCTGAATAATAGGATCCTTATTACAGGGACCCCCAAATAAGGTACCCCTAATTTTCGGAAACTCCCACATCGTTAACGCGAACTCCCAGCTTCGACTCCATCTGAATAAACCCGAAATCGTCAAGGGCCTTACCCTAAGGCTCCATGTACCTTTATAGTGGGGTTCCTTCAAGGGTTCCTATGAAGGGCTTCCTTTAAGGGTTCTATAAGGGTTCTATAGGGTTTTGGGTATAAGGGTCGGTATTACCATTATAGTAGATACTTAAGCCTTAAAGGGGTCCCTATATAGGTACTTTAAGGCCTAAGTATGTACTATATGGGTACATGGAGCCTTAGGGTTAGTCAGGATCCTTTTTTCGTTCCTTTTACGGCAGGGGGGTTTGCGACTCAGGGCTCTACGTCAAGGATAACTCCTATACCTGATAAACCCGAAACCCAGAAGCCAAAACATCCAAAGCAACATAGACCCCAGAGCATCCATTCAGCAACAACAGTCAGCGCCATTGATCTTGAAAACTACGGTGGATGATATAAATCCTGCATTACCTTAAGGACCCTAAACTATGAGAATTATGGTATATTCCTTATTATGGGTAATGCAGGATTTATACCATCAGCCGTATGACACCCTGAAGCCTCAAGTCCTCGAAGCCCTAAACCATCTAACCCATTCAAGCTCCAAATAAGAAACGCCCTCGGTGCGTGCCCTAAAAAGAATCCTTAGGGTCCAAGTAGTCCCGATTTAAAGGGAACTCCAGAAAGTTGGAATATGATTTCAGGGTAGGATACCTTATAATTTACCATAAAGGGCTCAGGATAATCATATTCCAACTTTCTGGCTTTTACCATATGGTTTCTGGTACCCAAAATGGACCCAAAGTCCCATAGTAGGATGTACTTGGACCCTTAAGGGAACCATCAATTCTTCAAGCAGCAGCAAACTTGGACCAAGTTTCGACAGGAAGGACGTCGAAGCTTCGCCCCGAGGTGCGCGCCTTGTTTGAGATTATGCACTTAGGCTCTAGGTCCCTAAGGCTCCATGTACCTTTATAGTAGATACTTAAGCCTTAAAGGAGGTCCCTATATAGGTACTTTAAGGCCTAAGTATGTACTATATGGGTACATGGAGCCTTAGGGTAGGTGTTTTGGGGTAAGTGGGTTCAGGAAGTTGACGGGTTTGGGCTTTAGGGTTGAGAGTTCCACGGCGCCGCAAGTGGACCAACCTTAGGGACGACATGAACCTTAAAAGATTCTAAGGTTCATAGTATAACGGTAGAGGGCCCTTACTTTAAAGGTCATTTGGTCCTGCAGGAAGGCTGTTTTGCGACTTCCCAACGCAACATGCACAGCAACAGACACGCCGTCGTCGAAAGAAAACAAGGACTTCGTCCTTGTTTACTGGTCGCGGGTTGTCTTATGCAGGGTGCTTATATAGTGTTGAATGATAAACTTGTACGCAAACGTAGAATGGTAATGGTAATTTCTCTACTTGTCGGGTATCATGGGGAACTAAAGGTTAGCCTTTTCGGGATTATAAAGGGACTATACTACCCGAAAAAGGTTAAAGGTTACCTACTCGGCTACTAGGTTCTAGTGGCGCGTGGGACTTGGTAAGTACAGTTATAAGTACCTTAATTGGGGTTAGAAGTTTGTCGGGTATCATGGGGAACTAGAGGTTAGCCTTGTAGGGATTATAAAGGGACTATACTACCCAAAAAAGGCTAAAGGTTACCTACTCGGCTACTAGGTTCTACTGGCATGTGGGACTTGGTAAGTACAGGTATAAGTACCTTAATTGGTTCTCTTCGAGGTCTGCCGTTGCCAGTTATCCACCACTGTACTGAAGACAGCCAGCAACCGAGTACTATACCCTACACGAGATGATGCTCTCATCATCACCATTATACTCAAGACAGCTGGTACTTCACTTCATGAACCATAAACCCTACTGAACCGTCTCTAATCTCTAAGCCCTAAATATATAAACCCTAAACTCCTGAACCCAAAACCGTTAAACCCCATAAACCCCGTGTACAACTCTTATTAGGAGCCCTTTGGGAAACCCTTCATAGGGACCCCGAAACCCGTTGGGGAACAAAGCCACCCCTAAACCTCACTGGCCCAATACCCCAGGGAATAAAAGTTGAAACTTTCCGAGAATCGACTACCTTACCCTAAGGGTCCAAGTACCCAAATAGTCGGGTTTCAAGGTCCAAAAACCATTCAGAGTATGCTATTTGGGTACTTGGACCCTCTGAGATATAAGAATCCCAAAAGTTGAAAAGTTGAGTTTAGAGCCAGCAAGAAACTCACAAAGCTCAAAGCCGAAGCCCCTGCACTCCCTACACCCGAAACCCCTAAACCCGAAGCCCCTACACCCTAAGCCCGAAGGATCCCTTAGAGGAACCCTTATAGGAACACTTACCCTAAGGGTCCAAGTACCCAAATAGTAGGGTTTTAGGTCCCCAAATCCACACTCTGAACGGTTTTTGGACCTTAAAACCCTACTATTTGGGTACTTGGACCCTTAGGGTTATAGATCCCTTTAAAGAAGCCCTACACCCCCTACACCCTATATAAACCCCTAAATCTCCGCCGCAGGACTCTCGGATCCGACTGAAGATCTGCTTCGCCACCTGCAGCTTTCTTGGGATTCATAGGTTTATAAGGGTTCAAGGCTCCCAAATACCATACTATATAAGGCTTTGGGCTAATTTGTGCCTTAGGGTTTAGGTTCGGGGATGTTTAGGGCTTACAGGGTTCAGGGTTTAGGATTCAAGGCTTCGGGTCTCAAAAATAAGTTGGGTCCCTTTAAGGGGGTCTGTAAAGGGGTTAAGGTTTAGGGGCTGCTCCAGGGTTCGCCTAAGGGCTGCAGAGGGTGTGGGGTGATACAACTTCTGAGAGTTGAGGAGTCAATTTAGGCTACCCAGAGACTCCAGTATCCCTTAATTAAGGAATATACCTTAAATTATAATAGGATCCCTAATATGATTTAAGGTATATTCCTTAATTAAGGGAAATTGGAGTCTCTGGCTGGCCATTGCCCCTGGGCTGCTATTCTTGGCAGGAGATTGGTCGGCCGAGGCAAATTAGAGCTGATCTGCCTCAATGCCGCCAATCGGGATGTTGGGGACCCTAAACCCTAAACCCTAAACGCCTAAACCCTAAACCCTGAAACCCTAAATACCATAAGGACCCTTGTTGGGGGGGAGTAGGGGGGTAGGGGGGCCTGAACACCTATAGTAAGGACTTTAACTAAAAGCCCCCCCCCCCGCCCCCCCCCCCGACTCCCCTAAGGATCCCTATGACTAAACCCTAAACCGAGCCTTGGCAAATCTCCTGGGCCCGTTATACTATAATCATATATAAGGAGCCCCCCCCAAAATAGTATAGCAAACAGTACAAAGGACGGCAAGTGCGTGTTGCGAGGGGGGGGGACTGCGCCGTTGCGGATCTTGAGAGGGGTAAAGAAACCCGAGCGCATCTTCGAATGCGCCCGGTCTGAGTCGAGAACAAGGGTTTACGGTCTGGGTTGAGGGGTTCGGTATTTCGGGTCCACCTGTAACCGCAAACCATAAAGTCACAGGGTGTGTGTGTATACATATTATACATATATATATATATATACATATTATATTATATAGTGGGATTAATTGTTGAAGGAATAGGAGTTTGGATACGCAGGAGGCTCCAGCCAGCATTTATGGTTTAGGGGTTTAGGGTTTAGGGTTTATGGTGCAGAGGGCTAGGGTTCGTTGAGGGCTCTTGGACTGAAGCTTTCAGGGATCTTGCCCAAAGGCTCCATGTACCTTTCAAAGGGTTCCTTTAACGGTTCTATAAGGGTTCTATAGGGTTTGGGATATAAGGGTCCATAGTACCATTATAGTTGATAATTAAGCCTTAAAGGGGTCCCTATATAGGTACTTAAGGCCTACGTATATACTATATGGGCACATGGAGCCTTAGGGCTGCGACAGTGGATGGCGACGTCGATGGTAGGGGGAATACAGGAAGGGTTTCCGACAACCATGACCGTCTTGCCATTTCGGACGCGCAAAAGCAGATTAACAAAAGTAGTCCACTGTACACCGAAGGTCGGCTCCTGATGTGAAGCTGATGACGCTTATGTAGGTGGTTGTCAAAATTATGGTCCCTTTTTGGGTCCCTATTGTACTACGGCACCTAATATTTAGGGTGCCCAAAACTGGGACATAATTTTGACGACCAGCCACACATGTAGTTGCATCACTTTCAGCACTGGCATTATAAAATTTGCAGAGCTTGTTACGGCTGCAGGTTTGAAGCTAGAGTCTAGGGGGTAGGATGGTTTAGGGTGCCCGAAGGCCTACTTCTCTCGGGGAGTATAGCCCTAAGCCCTTAAAGGGAACTCCTGAAAGTTGGAATATGGTTTCAGGGTAGGATACCCTATAATTTACCATAAAGGGCTTAGGATAATCATATTCCAACTTTCTGGCTTTTACTTTAACCTTTGTGTTCAGTTTAGGAGCCCTTAGGAGTCCTCGACCTGTTTAGGGTTTACCTTAACCCTGAAAATCCTACCTTTTTAGGGACTTATATAAGGAAATCATAGTAGGGAACCCTAAAAAGGTAGGTTATTCAGGGCTAAGGTAGGGTTTAGGGTTTAGCGGTTAGGGTTTAGGGTTAATCTTTTTGGTTGCAGGTGGGTTTTGGTGTTAGGGCTTTTTGAAGGGTCAGGTTACAGCAGTTTCGGGCTCAAACCCTATACACCCTAAACCCTAACCCGAAGGCCAAAAGCTCTGCAAAGTACATAATATTGTACCACACCGACCTTACGGATGAGGCAAAGAGGTTTGTCAGAAATCCCTCCCACACCCACAAAACTGAAGTGAGTGCTTACTTGGAGGGTCGGGGGACTTAGTAAGCAGGTAGTAAATAGACTTATAAGTACCCTAAAAGGGACCCTAATTGGGGTTATGGTACTTATAAGTCCCTAAAACAGCCAGTTACTAAGCCCCCTAAACCCTAAACCCTTACAGAATCCCTATAGATCCCTTTAAAGGGGCCCTTAAGGATCCCATTATGTTACTAAGTCCCCCAACCCTCCAAGTAAGGTCTCTGGGGGTGATCTACGAGCTTCTGCGAATGCTCGGCTTAGGATTTAGGGTTTAGGGTTTCGTGTTCAGGGTGCAAGGGATCCTCGAAGCATATCAAGATCGCGAAGAAGATTTGGCCTAAACCCTACTCCAAGGGTAAAAGGAGGGACCCTTAATAAGGACCCGAAGGGATATACCCTTAAAGTAGCTATTATATAATATACCCATTATACAGCCCATTATAGGGTAGGGGTCCCTATTAAGGGTCCTCCTTTTCCCCTTTGACCTAAATTCCTGAAAACACTAAACCTCATAGGGATCCTTAGGGGTGTAGGGGGAGGGGGGGTAGGGGGCCTTAAGGCCCATAATAAGGACTAATAAGGCCTATTTAAGGAAATATAGTCCCCTACACCCCTCCCCCCTACACCCCTAAGGACCCCTATGAAAACCCTAAGACCGGCAACTTTCAGCAAACTCCGGCCTCCTGGATCTTGGAAGGTGTCGGCAGCATCTCCTGCAGTCCGTCCTACACCCCCAAGGTACCGAAGGTACCTACTTAGGGTTTAGGGTTCAGGGCTTAGTTTGGGTTTAGGGTTTAGTTTAGGGTTTAGGGCCTGGTTTAGTTTAGGGTTTAGGGCGTTTAGGGCTTTTAGGGTTTGGCGTCTATCCCACCAACACAGCGTAGCCACCCAACAATCCCTTGCAAAACAGAACATCTTAGCCATACATGGGTAGTTGTCGAAATTATGGTCCCTTTTTCGGTACCCTAAATATTAGGTGCCGTATTATATCTTTAAGGACCCAAACAGGGACCATCATTTTGACAACCACCTACATTAGGTTCCCTGTTACCCCAAACATGCTGGGATTCGAGGCATTCCTGGAACCCTGCACCCGTGATTGGATGCTACTTGGAGGGTCGGGGGACTTAGTAACTTGTTATTTTAAGGACTTATAAGTACCGTAACCCCAATTAGGATCCCTGTTAGGGTACTTCTAAGTCTACTTATTACCTACTTACTAAGTCCCCCGACCCTCCAAGTAGCTATTACCCTAAGCGTCCAAAGCACCCAATAACCAGGTACTCGGGTTTGAGAGAATAGCTATGCCGGTTACTATTTTGGAGAGCATCTGATAATTAGGTACTTGGACCCTTGGGGTTACCCATAGGACCCCCGGGGCAGTGGTTTCAAGACGAGGCATGCCCTCAGATACCAGCTTTCGGATGTAGACGAGTGCCGATCGAAAAGAGGCTGCCCTTATTCACCTAAAGCTGGTGGCCAAGCGGATCACAAAACTTCTCGCCTGAACCCTTGCCCAGAAACTCTGATTCAGATCTCCAGGCTGCAAGCCAACACCCTACAGCCAAAAGCCTACACTCCTTCTATGAAGTTTTCAACCCTGAACCTAGCTGCTTCAACCCTGAAACCAACACCCGAAAAACACAAACTTCAAACCTCGTCCTGGGACACTGAACCGCTCTCACCCTGAAAATAATCCAAACACCGAAATCCCAAATCCTAAATCCAACCCAAAACCCTAAACTTTAGCTCTACCGCATCCCTAGACCCGATACCCTAAAACTTAAACCCTCAACCCCAAACCCGAAGCCTTAAACCCGAAAAACCCTAAACCCTAAAGCCCTAAACCGGCCCCTGGTGCAAGGTGAACCTGAAGCCCTAAACCGGTTTGGGGTTTAGGGTTTAGGGGAGCCCCAAACCCTAGAGATCCCTTAAAGGAACCGTTATAGTACCCTTTAAAGGAACCCTCAGCCCCTAAACCCCTAAGCCCCTAAACCCCTAAAAGGAACTCCAGAAAGTTGGAATATGGAATAATGGCAGGATCCCCTATGAATTACCTTAAAGGGATTATGATAAGGATATTCCAACTTTCTGGCTTCTACTGTAGAACGCAATAAACCCTAACCCCTTCCTTTTAAAGGAACCCTATGAACCCCTATAGACCCCTTTTAAAGGAAGCCCTAAACCCCTAAACTTTAAACCTTTGCACCTCGCCTTGGCGATGGCCATGCCAAAAGCACAAGCTAAGCCGCGCAGCAGGTTTTGGAGCATACTGATGAACTCCTCTTCGGTCCTGGGTCTATTTAGGGTTTAGGGTTTAGGGTTTAGGGTTTAGGGTTTAGGGGGTCTAGGGTCTATTTGGGTGGTTGTCAAAATTAGGGTCCCTGATTGGGTACTTATTATAATGCGGCACTTATTATTTAGAGTACCCAAAAAGGGACCATAATTTTGACAACCACCCATTTAGGCTTTAAGTCTAGACCCAAGAGTAACCTAGGTATAAAAGGGTGCCCTTTTTTGGTTTTCAAGGGGTTTATAAGGGAACCTGAACGCTTAAAAAGGGAATGAGGGCCTACTGAAGTTTAGGGGTTCTGTACCCGAAAACCACAAACCCTAATACACTAAACCCTAAGCCTAGGCATCCAAGGACTCATATATCAAGGCTTTTGGGCCCAAAGACCATACTATATAAGGCTTTTGGGCTATTTTGATGCCCAGGGTAATTTAAGCCCTACCCGCAACCCCAACCCATAGTTTACGCCCTATAGGCCCTAAACCCTAAACCCTAATCAACTAAACCCTAAGTGAAGCCCTACCCTAAACCCTAACCCCTAGTTTACGCCCTATAGGCCCTAAACCACCTAAGCTTCCAGAAGCTGTTTTTTAACGTCAAAACACCCTAACCCTAAACCCTAGCTTAGGCCCTATAGGCCCCAAACCACCTAAGCTTCCAGAAGCCCTAAAGCCCTAAACCCTATAGTACCCTTTGAAGGAACTCTAAGCCCCTAAACCCCTAAACCCCCTAAGCTTCCAGAAGCTGTCAAGAGGCAAACCGCCTTTGTCTTCCTTGTCGAAGATGCCGCAGAGAAATCGAAGCTTTTGCCTGTTTGTCCTTGGCGGACTTCGCCTTTAAGGGTTCCTTAAAGGGATCTATAAAGGCTCTATAAAGGGTTTAGTGTTTAGGTTATATGGCTTGGCTGACTTCTGAACCCCTCCTAAAAGTTAAACTTGTAGCCTCCTTACTATAGTTCATATAGAAACCCAAAATGTTAGAGTCTAAAGAGCCAAGCAGAGCCAAGAGTCAATGTCTGCGACATCATGACACCTTGGCCCAGGGTTGATGTTCTAGGGTTTTGGGGTGTACTGTTTCGGGTTTTCAAGCGGTTTCTATATATGAGGGTACTACAACAAGGGTAGCTATCCACATTAGAGTCTCGTTTCCCAGAGGGATCAACGCCTTGGTTCAGGGGTCGTAAAGGCAAAGGTTGCGGATGTGATACCCTAAACCCTAAACCCCAAGCCTCAAATCCGAAAGTCTCAATGCTAAAACAAGTTGTGGGATTCGAGGTCTAAGGCTATGACCGAGACATTTCTGCGGCAAAGCCCATACCCTCATCTAGGTTCCTGAGTGACTCCTAAACAATAAGGGTACCCTTTTTCCTGTTATTCAGTTTTAATATGAGAGAACCATACAAAACAAAAATTGCAAAAAGGATACTACTCAGGAAACTAGTCATGCCCGTGATTGTGCATGATCTCCAGCATCGATCGCAGGGTCTTTGGGCACTCGGGGCCTTAGAAAATTGGGGGTTTAGGCCGACATCCAAACCCTAACCCCAAGGGTCTAAGTAGCTAATTATCATATACTCTCCGAAAAAATGTAACCTACATAACTATTATCCCAAACCCGAGTACCTGATGATTGGGTGCTTTGGACCCTTAGGGTAAGGGTCCATGTACCCAAATCATTTATGCCTTGGCCTTAAAGTAGTCCGTATTTAGGTACCCTAGGGCCAATGTATATACTGTTTGAGTGCATGGACCCTTAGGGAAACATGGCTGCGGCAACCCAACAAAACATGAACAACACCTGCATCTCCTCAACCTTATCCCAACCCAACCTGAGCATGTTGCAGTTGCAGTCATGTCCTATCTATAGATAGGCTCCTGCAGTATGTCCTTTGAGTCATCCTATACTAGCCTATACCCCAAACCCCAGCCCAAACCCCAAACAATGAGCCCTGGGCATCGAGCCCTAAACCTTGAAGTGTTAAACACACTGATATAGGGGCCTTAACAGGTAGAATAGGGTTTTGGGGCCCATTATACTATAATCATAATAAGGAACCCCCAAAATAGTAATGGTAATCATTTAGGCGCCTATAGTCAACTAAGAATGTGTTTCTTCCTGCATTCATGCTCCCTGAGAGCGAGACGTGGACTGCACCCAAGTGACTGCCCGGATGAAGAGGAAACTGGTTCAGGGTTGAAGTGTCAACTACACTTCCGAGAGACTCCAAAACACATGAGTAAGGAAAACAAGCCTGAAGCCATGATCGGGCTGCTACTATAAGCTAAGGGTTGCTGCTTAATTAAAGCGTTGTGGAGTCTCTGGATCTATGCTGTAGGATTTGGAGGCTGTCTAAAGCCCACAACTTTACACCTGATCAAAGGTTTATTACAGCTTAGGGATTAAAGGGTGCATGGGGTCTCTTTACAAAATGAGACCCGTGCTCTAAGAAGCGACAACGATGTTAAACAGTCCCCGAAAGCGTCCTTTCGCTTAGTCCTCTGGGTTTGGAGTCTTTTGTCAACAGGGCTTTGCGTTTTCTTTATGGACCCTGGGTCTTAGCAAATACGACCACAAGCAGGGATAGGTGTTCCGTTCAGGTTCAAACCCTGATGACAAAATACCTCCAACCTTACTACGCTGCATGATCCGTTACATACTCCCAACACTAAACACATAGATGTAGGATTATTCATGCTGAGATTCCATATACTTTACTCTATAGGGGAATGAGCTAATGATGTTCCAACTTTCTGGCGTCTACTGTAAACCCCAAACCCAAAACCCCAAACCCTAAACCCTGAACCAACCCCAAACCCCAAACCCGGTGCTCACACATTCGGGAGTTTCCGAAAATAGGGGACCCTAGTATAATACCCTAAATATTAGGATCCTTATTATAAGGACCCAAAATAAGGTACCCCTAGTTGTCGGAAACTCACCTTCCCGACTTTTTCACCCAGGCACAGGCGCACACGAGCGGCAGAATGGGAAGACGAATCTTCCTTGCAGAGGTTACGGCTTAGGGTTTATAGGGTTAACGGTTTAGGGTTTATAGGGTTTACGGTCTAGGGTTTGTAGGGTTTACGGTTTAGGGTTTATCGGGCTTACGGTTTAGGGTTTGTAGGGTTTACGTTTAGGGTTTAGTAGGTTTAAGAGGTAAGAGAGGTTCCCTAAGGGACTAAGTACGCAAATAATAGGGTTTCAAGGTCCAAAAACCATTCAGAGTATAGATTTTGGGCCCTCAAACCCTGTTATTTTGGTACTTGGACCCTCCGGGTTACGGTTTCGGGTTCAAAGGGGTTTAGGTGTTTAGAGGTTAGGGTGAACCCCAAACGACTGTCGACATTTCTGGCTTCTACTTCCGGAGTCGTTTACAGGGTGTAGAGTGTTGGGCTTGCAGACCTGACAAGGACGGAAAGGCCTTTTTGACTCTGAAACCTCCTGTAGAACATGAGTATAAAGAATCCATAACGGTGCCTGTGCCCAAAGAGTAAATACTTTGGCTTCTAGTAGTCCCTAGAGAGATACCTTGGGGCCAAAGTATGGGCTCTTCGACATCGATCTCCCTGAACACATCGAACACCAAAATTCCTGAACCTTAAGCCCTAAACTCCCAAAATTCGAAATCCTAAGAAACCCTAAATAACCCATACACACGACCCTTCGTCTACAGGCCTCTGGCTCAAGGGACCGGTGTGGGTTTTCTACATAAGGACCTGGTGGTGCTGGTTTCACTTTAGGGATATGGAGTTTACGGGTTTAGGGTTTAGGGGTTTAGGGTTCATAGGGGTTTAGGGCTCAGGGTTTAGGGTTGCCATGCATCCTTGGTTCACCATCGTCCACGCAAACAGCACATGGCTGACCCGCAATCTTACTGTAGACCCTGACTAAGACCCCCCCACCTTAGTCTGGATTACAGTAGGGCTTCGAGTATGTCGAATGTTCAGGTCCTCAAACTAAGGGAGTTTATCCAGCAGGCGTATACACTATGGTGAACGATTCTTTGCTTGCAGCTTTGGGAGAGCGCAAGCCACACTCCTTGAGTACGTAGACGAGACAGTGTGAGTATTCGTGTACGTCAACATAAACATGCGACTACCGGCATAGATCTAAACATATGGAGAATCATCACTAGTCCTTTACAACACAAAGTGCAGCGAAGCAGCGAGTGCTCCGAGCTGGTTTTCATGAGGTTGAACTTGGCATAGCCTGGTGCACTCTGATGCAACTTGGCCCCTAAACCCTAAACCCCAAACCCGGGTTGTTAGAGGCATGCACGCAAGCCTTGGGGTTTAGAGTACTGAGGGCCTATGGGCCTGTAGAAGATTGCAGGGTTTAGGGTTTAGGGCCGAAATATTCACGGAATATACACTTCGACACCGAGGACCTGCACAGGAACCCCTTTCTGTGTCTCGCAGGACAACCAAACCACAACGAGTAGCAATGTCTGATCGTCATCCAGCCAGCGCGAAAGCCCCAAATGTTTACCTTAACCCACCAGAACTACTTTTTTGTAGGGTCGCTATACATTACATATTAGGGTTTATTTTTTTCCGGCAGCATGTTTACTTTGGCTTGAAGCCTTGATTCCTGTAATGTGACCCTCAATCCGAAGCCCTAAACTGTTATATACCCTTAGGCTCTAAGGACTCACATTTTAAGGCTCTTGGGCCCAAAGACCATACTATATGAGGCTTCTGGGCTATTTTGAGCCTTAGGGTTAGTGGTCCAGCCAGCAACACCGTCTTAAAAGAACACCGTCTTAATATGGCTAGAGGTTGCGGAGGTGTGATCCCTGCTTCGGCCCCGAATACGTAAGCACATCGTGACATACATTGAACCAACAACTTGAACCCTGAATCCCTGAAGTCCCGGAGTTCGAAGACCCACACCACATCAAACTCGAAAGAATCCAAGCGGTGGTCAGTGGTGCCTTTCGGATCAAACAACCTCACAATCTCCACGACCCGAGTGGGTGGTGCCGCCAGCCAGTCTTGCAACTCACTCGCGCTCCTTGGAGGCGTAGTGGCAGGGGAGGGGTACTGGAGGATCATGGGACTTAGTAAGTACAGTTATAAAAAAGTACATTAAGTGGAGTCAGGAATAATTTTACGTAGGGTTACCAGCGGTCAGAGGTTCCTATTCAAATTCAGATTCTCCTATTCCCCACTCTTAATCCCCTCCCCAGTGACTCCCCAAAATCGTGGCCACCGCCCCCCCCCCCCCCCCCCCCTAAAAAATGGAAACGTGTCGATGAGCCCCAATGTCCGGCGGTGAATTTTCGCTTTCTCCAGTGGATTTTGGCTTTCTGTAGGCAGTCCCACCCAATTTTCTTCGCTCCCCCCCCCCACTCCCCCTCCCCCCTCCCTCCCCTCCCGCCCCCCCCACTCCCCCCTTCCCTCCCGCCCCTCCTCCGCTGACAGCTTTCTGGAGTTTTCGACGACACGGGACTGCAATGTAGCATCTTTATGTGCGTCTCAGGCTTGTTTTAGACGCCCTTTCGTTGGGATAGGCGGAGTAACGTGGTTGAAAAGGCTGTGATGCTTCCCTAATCCAAGACGCCCACGAAATCCACAGCCTCAACGGCCCATACTTAAGGCATCCCGCCGCTTGCGAGAGTCTTGGTATCCAGTGTTTCGGAATGACGACACCAAAATTCGTACTGATACTACCACTACTAATACTACTCACAATCATCCTGCTTCGTGTTGCTATGAACATTACTTTTACTATAAGTGCGATTCCAACTGTTACTTTTTCCTACAAGAGCTTGCTGCAGATAGTAGCCACTCGCCGCATGCGCGTACAGCCGGGCCGAGGCGGACGACGCGCAGCGTTTCAAATTACTTCTAGCTCCAATTGATGTACTTGTAGCTGTACTTACTAAGTCCCATGATCCTCCCAGTGCCACTGTACTTAAAGGGTCATGGTACTTAGTAAGTAGAATATCATTGGGGTTACAAGCCCCTAAGTGGGTTATCCTAATGATATCTTACTTATAACCTGACTTACTAAGTCCCATGAGCCGTTAAGTAACATCGGAAACAACAGCCCGAGTCTTTCAGCCTCAACCTACCACAGGCTAGCTTTTGGTGGGGTTTGTAGGAGTTCCTTCTTAGAGCTTGGAATGGGAACCCACAAGAAGCAGGTTATGGTAGTTTAAGGACGAGTTTAGCTTGGCAGGTCTACTGGTATAATCTCCAGTCGGCCAAAGGCGCATAACGTCGACAGGGATGCCACCATTGCTTTTGGCCGTGGCCTGAAGCTCGAGGTTACAGAGAGGGTTTGGGGTTTAGAAACCTAAAAACACAAACCTAGACCCAAAAATCCAAGAGAACCAAAGGACTAAAGCACCAACACGCCACCCAGCCCCTACAACAGGTTACAGCAATCGTATGAGCAACCTTTTGAAGAAACACCTTAAACCCAACATTCGAGGCGCCAGCCAAAACCAGAAATTCCATCGAATGCGAATGCGTGACCCAGGAGTTAGAGGTTCAGAGAGAAAGAGAGAGTCAGAGAGAGAGAGAGAGAGAGGGAGATAGAGATAGAGATAGAGAGAGCGAGAGAGCGAGAGAGCGAGAGAGAGAGAGAGCGAGAGAGCGAGCGAGAGAGAGAGAGAGAGAGCGAGCGAGAGAGAGAGAGAGAGAGAGAGAGACAGAGAGAGAGAGAGAGAGAGAGTCAAGGGTCGGGGTTTAGGGGCCCAAAGGTTTAGGCTGTCGACGTCAGGGCCCACAGCCTCCCAGTCGATGTTCTCGCCAGTTACCCCAAGTCATTGAGCAGTTCCCGAAATTAGGTGGTGTAGGGTTTACCTTAACTCCAAGTAGCCCACCTTTTTAAGGACTTATATAAGGAAATCATATTAGGGAGCCCTAAAAAGGTAGGCTCCTTAGCGTCCAGGTAGGGTCTAGGGTTCCTTTGCAGGTGCCTAACATGGTACGACACCCTTATCAAGGAAAGGACCCCAAAAGGGACCCTAATTCAGAAAAATGTCCCTTTGTAGGTTGGAGCCCTTGAAGGAACACTTCGCGAGGAAGACACTTACTATGAACAATAATCGGGTGTGGTATTGGCGGCACTGCCTAAGACCTAAACCCTAAGCCCCTAAACCTGCACCCGTAAACCCTAAAGCCCACACAGACGGTCGCATCTTTGCCTGCCAACGGTTGTAGATGGCTACCCAATTCGGCAGCGACCTTGCGCTGTGCAGGGTTTAGGGGTTTAGGGTTTAGGGTGTAGGGTTGAGGGTTTGAGTTTACTGTGGGGCTTGCGAGGTCTCGAGACTGGGATGTGGCTTAGACTGCGAGCTCGATATGGGAGTTTCGCAAAATAGGGGACCCGAATACAATACCCTAAATAGTAGGTTCCTTATTATAAGGACCCCAAGAAAGGCACCCCTGATTTTCGGAAACTCCCATATTTTCATGGGCATTAACCCCACCCCTAAACCCTGAACACGAAGACCTTGCCTCAAGCTCGAAGGACATTCTAAACCATCAACCCCAACATTGGGGATTTCCTAGAAGGGGTCCTGGCTGGTGTTCAAGCTCTACGGTTTAGGGTTCAGGGGTTTAGGGGTTTTGGGTTTAGGGGTTTAGGGGTTTTGAGTTTAGGTTTTTTGAGAGAAAAATGTGCACTGACATCGGGTCGTGCAGGGGGCACTAGATTCGTTGAGGGGAGGCGGGAAATCCATCAGGGCCAAGCAATGCAAAACGACACACTGCTGAAGTAGGATCGGTTTAAGGTTTAGGCTGAGTCAAGACGCGAAGCGAAGACTCGCTAAACCCTTTAAAGCATAAACATCGTTTATACTGCAATTCTGGACTTAGGCACCCCAAAAACATGATAAGGATGGCCTTTGGGGGCCTGAGTAAATAATGGTAGTCTAGATGGAGCCTCTGCTTTTTCACCAGATCTGAAACTTCATGATGCCCAAAGCCAACGAAGCCCGTGCTATTCGATCACGTCGTTAGCCCAGAGCTTCCAAAATCCCTTATTTCAGGAATAGGATCCCAAGCATGGTTTCAAGTATATCCTGAATTATGGGATTTTGGACGGTTTGGGCAGTCTCCTCAGAGCAGAACTTAAACCCGACACCCCAAACCCTAAACCAAACCCTAAAACCTGCAGCCTAAAACCCATAGAGCCCTTATAGTGACTTTAATGGTAACCGGTCCAAGAACCTTCAAAACCAACACAAGGCAAGAACACGAGCCCTATAAAACCTGAGCAGTCAGGCAGCCGGTTTGTCAGCATCCGACAAGCAGGGGTCTGCACGAGCACCACATGCCAGAATGCTCGGAACCATTCTACACCTGCATGGGCAGGTTTGTTGAATAAGCGAAGTACAATCATTGAGGTGGGGGCTTGCGGATTTGGGGCTCAAGGTTTGGAGTTTGGGGCAGGTTCTTTGAAGGAGCCAAGGTTCATGTTTCATGTTTAGTCATGAGGATTTCGCAAAATTACTAAATTGAGGAGGGCTCTACAAGTAGTAAACCTGCCAAACAGCTCTGAACGACCCATAGACCGTAAAACCCTAAACCAAAACTAGGTGTCGGTTTCAAAGTAGTTACGATAATGCTCTATATTAAGCTATAATGGACATGAACAACCATCTAAAATCGATACCTAGCCAAGCAAGAGCCAAGTGCCCAATAATCATATACTCCCCAATAGTAACCTACATAAGTACTATCCGAAACCTAAACATAATCCCTAATTCATGGGCCCTTAAGACCCGTAGAATATTCCAGCACTAATGCCCACAGGTCTCTGAAACGCATGATGGTCTCTTTTCGGGGCTCCTTAAAGGTATCTATAAGGGTTTCTATAAGGGTACTATAAGGGTGGTTCTCGAAATTAGGGTCCCTTTGTCTGTCCTTTTTATGAAGGTACCGTACTGTTTTTTCGGACCTGAAAGGGGCTTCCAATTCAGAGATCTACCCACTTGCGGTAGCAGGTGCTCGGGTTTGAGGGTCCATGTGCCCTAATGGTATGTACGTTGGCCCTGAGGTACCAATAACAGGGCTGCCTCAAGGCTCAACTATATACATACCGTGTGGATCCCTAGCGGATGTGCAATAACAACACATCAGGAATTCCCAGGATTGGCTTCTGATCTACAAACCTGCAACCACCCTATCGTCTGTCTGGTTTTATGGTAGAAGCCAGAAGCCTGAAACATGGCTTTAGGACGTTCAATGCTAGGATCCCTTATACTTTACCTAAAGAGCATGAGGACAATGATGTTCGCCTCGGCCCCGGCCGAAGCGGTCAGAGGTTCCTATTCGGATTTCCTCAATTATTCTCCTCAGTGACCCCACCCCCACCGCCCCCCCCCCCACCCTAAAAAATGGAAACGTGTCAATGGGTTCCAAGGTCCGGCGGTGAATTTTCGCCTTCTCCACTGGATTTTGGCTTTTTGTAGGCAGTCTCACCCAATTTTCTTCGCTTCCCCTCCCCCACCTTCTCCCCCTCCCCCCCCGCCCTCCCCCTCCCCTCCCCCCTCCCCTCCCCACCCTCCTCCCCCGCTCCTCCCTCCCTCCCCTCCTCCGCTCGTTGGCGGCCCGCCCCTCCTCCGCTCGCTGACAGGTGCGAGCTTTCTGGAGTTTTCGACGACACGGGACTGCAGTGTAGCATCTTTATGTGTTGGGGCTCGCCTTTAAGGCTGCAGTACCAAGCCAGTGTTTCTTGCAAAGCCTTAATGACTTCAATATACTTTAACTCTATCAAAAAAACCCCAGCAGGGTCTTAATCAGTGTTTGGGCCCCTACAGAGCGTACCCCAGGGGAGGGGGTGTTCTAAGTGGAGGGCAAGCTTGCCGCTACCGCGGACAGTCGAAGCAGAGAACACGTTGGGTTGCATCAGACTCGCGGAGGGTACATGGTGCGCAAATGACGATCGAAATTGTGGAAGACGAAAACGTCTGGAGGCAAGGATAGACAAGCCCCAGCAAGAAACTTAAACCCGGAAAAAAGGGGAAAAACTCAAGCACGCGCTCTCCCTCCAAAAACGCTTCCCTGCCTGCGCTCGGCTCCATGCGCTGCGCTGCCCCCTAGACGGAAGCACCGCTCTTCTTGGCACTGGTCTTCTTCGGTTCCTGAGCATGGCTCCGAATATAGAGCCAGACCGAAACGTTCACGCAAGGCATCTCCGCGGCCTCGCAGTCCTTCTTGACACTGCTTTTCTTCGGTGCCTGACCGGTGCTAGAAGACCGACAGAAACTTTCAAGCGCCGGTCCCCGCGAGCCTCGCTGGAGCTTGCATAGCTCTTCGATAGCTGGGAGCGGCAGTTCTTGCATACGACGTCATCTTTCCGAAGGAGCCGGTTATGCCTCAGCACGTGCGGATTGCAGAAAGCCCTTGTGTGGGAAGCGAGCGCTGGGGCTGCGGCGGCCCGAAGTAAGAGCGGCTCAGCCGGCGGCTCTTCTCGGTCTTCCGGGGATTCATGCCCTTGGGGACGTAGAGGTAGACTTGTTTGTCGTCGTCCCACATTAGTGTGCGATGGAGCACCTGATTCAAGATAAGGTGAAAACCGTGCATGAAAAAAATCAAAATATTGAAAAGATAAGGTGAAAACACGCGCTCACACAAGATAAGGTGGAAAAGGAAAACATGGAACATCCAAGTGGCTAGTTTATGAGCCACCCCGATGCGCTCGTTCGTTTGGAAGATGAACGAGAATGCCAAGCCGAAGGCGGCGTACTTGGCCAGCCGGAGCCTCATGTACCGGATGTTCTGCTCCGCTTTGGGGCTGGTGCCCTCCCGCCCGTCTTTTCCTTCACCGCCGGCTCCTGTCAAGCAAGGAGTCGGGTAAAGAACTTGAAACCCATGATGAAGTGAAAAATGACAAGCCCAGTCCTCCTTTTGAAGTGCAATGGAGTCGTAATGCGTGTGGCCGTTGTAGGCCATGGGCATCCACCCTGGAAATCAGTGACAATAAGGTGAAAACAGGAATCGCAAGCATCCAAACCAAAAGATAAGGTGCAGCTTCGTGGCGGCGGCATGCCTGATGAGGTGCGCGGCTTTGAGGTGTGACGCGGTGCGCACACCGCAGCCGCGCACCACGCATACCTTGGCGATGTCAGACGCAGCTTGCTCGAATGAGTGCAAGTCCGAAGCATGCGAATACGCAACAGATGCAGCCTGGGCTCCGTTTCACGTGGACCTGCAGCTTCGGCGTCGCGCGTGGCGCTTCCATCAGGAAGACCCTGCTTGCCGCAAAAGCAGCAGAAGCGGCCGCCGAGTAGTGTTGTCTTGGCGCAGTCAGGCAATGAGAAAACACGGGGCTCTGCATGGAGTGGGCCTAGCAAAACGCGTTGCAAAAGCTCGTGCGGACAGGTGGCACAGCCGCAGTGGCAACACGTCCTTTCGGCCCTCTGAAGAAAAAGCCACGCCGCCATGATCGAGCGATCTGTCGTGCTACTTGCCGAGGCTGTCTGCGTGGGTGTGTAAGTAAGTATTATAAGTAAGTGAGTAAGTAAGTAAGTAAGTAAAAGTAAAAGTAAGTAAGTGTGTGCGTCAGCAAGGCCTGCAGTGGCATTCGCAAAATTGCGACTGCCACACAGCATGCGAAACGTTTGAAGCAGCAGACGCCGCGGAACACAAGACGCGGACCTACAGCGATAAATGTCCGCAATTCGCGGCAGCTGGGCAAGTCTCTGGAGGAAACACAGACTCATTTACGCTTCCACTTCCAAATCTTCCAAATGCATTTGCGTGACTCCGAGTGATCGACGAGTCTTCGGCCCGGATACATGTCGAGAAAAAGCAGTTGCACAAGTGCCTGGAAGTGGGTCCGTCTGGATATCGAAACAATCGAACCCTCTCGGGCGGAGCCTCTACCCTGGAAGCAAGTGGTAGCTGCCGAGAAAAGACAGCATATGACAGCAAGAGTTGGCATCACACGGGTGCAATGCTTCGTCCTCCAGAGACAGTACGTGCTGTTGCTGGTTCTGCTAGCACGAGTAGTATAGTGGTAGTAGTAGTAGTAGTAGTAGTAGTAGTAGTAGTAGTAGTACTACTACTAGTAGTAGTAGTAGTAGTAGTAGTAGTAGTAGTAGCAGTAGTCGTAGGAGTAGTAGTAGTAGTAGTAGTAGTAGTAGTAGTAGTAGTAGTAGTAGTAGTAGTAGGAGTGGTAGCAGTAGATAGTAGCAGCAGTAGTAGTAGGAGTAGTAGTAGTAGTAGTAGTCGTCGTAGTAGTAGTAGTCGTCGTCGTCGTCGTCGTCGTAGTAGTAGTAGTAGTAGTAGTAGTAGTAGTAGTAGTAGTAGTAGTAGTGGTAGTAGTAGTAGTAGTAGTAGTAGTAGTACTAGTGCTAGTAGTGCGAGTCGTGGTAGCAGCCGCAGAAGTAGTAGTAGTAGTAGTAGTAGTAGTAGTAGTAGTAGTAGTAGTAGTAGTAGTAGTAGTAGTAGTAGTAGTAGTAGTAGTACAGTTTCAGTTTCAGTTCAGTCTCAGTTTCAGTTCATTGTCCGGAAGGGGGGGGCTTTCAGTTTCAGTTCAGTATCAGTGCAAAATTTTTTCGGGGGGGGTGCACAGGGGGGGGGGGCGTTCAGTTTCAGTATCACTGCAATTTTGTTTTCCGGCAGGAGGGGGTGGCGTTCACTTTCAGTTTCAGTGCAGTCTGAGTGCAGAGGGAGGGTGGTCAGTGCAAAAATTTTTCGGGGGGGTGCACAGGGGGGGGGAGGGGGCGTTCAGTTTCAGTATCACTGCAATTTTGTTTTCCGGGGGGGGAGGCATTCAGTTTCAGTTTCAGTGCAGTCTGAGTGCAGAGGGATGGTGGCGTTCCGTGTCAGTTTCAGGTGCTTTTTTTTTTGGAGGGGGGGGGCATTCGGTTTCAGTTGCAGTTCAGTCTCAGTGCACCGGGGGACTGTTCCAGTTCGAGTTCGAGTTCAGGGTTACCAAGGGCCCACGGCCGAAGGGCATGGGTCGTGAGGGTGGGTGGGGTGTGTCGAACTCGAACTCGAAGTGGAACTGGAACTGGAACTGCTCCAGTTCGAGTTCGAGATCCAGTTCGAGTTCGAGTTCAGGGTTAGCAAGGGGTCCAAGGCCCAGGGGAATGGGTCCTGCGGGTGGAGTGACTCGAACTCGAACTGGAACAGTTCCAGTTCCAGTTCGAGTTCCAGTTCGAGTTCAGGGTTAGCAAGGGGTCCGAGTCCCAGGGGAATGGGTCGTGCGGGTGGAGTGACTGGACCAGTTCGAGTTCGAGTTCCAGTTCGAGTTCAGGGTTAGCAAGGGGCCCAAGGCCCAGGGGAATGGGTCCTGCGGGTGGAGTAACTCGAACTGGAACTGGAACAGTTCCAGTTCCAGTTCTTAGCAAGGGGTCCAAGGCCCAGGGGAATGGGTCCTGCGGGTGGAGTGACTCGAACACGAACTCGAACTGGAACAGACAGTTCGAGTTCCAGTTCGAGTTCAGGGTTAGCAAGGGGTCCGAGTCCCAGGGGAATGGGTCGTGCGGGTGGAGTGACTGGACCAGTTCGAGTTCGAGCTCCAGTTCGAGTTCGAGTTCAGGGTTAGCAAGGGGTCCAAGGCCCAGGGGAATGGGTCCTGCGGGTGGAGTGACTCGAACTCGAACTGGAACTGGAACAGTTCCAGTTCCAGTTCGAGTTCCAGTTCGAGTTCGGGGTTAGCCAAGGGTCCGAGTCCCAGGGGAATGGGTCGTTCGGGTGGAGTGACTCGAACTCGAACTCGAACTCGAACTGGAGCTGGGAATGGGTCGTGCGGGTGGAGTGAGTCGAACTCGAACTCGAACTGGAACTGGAACAGTTCCAGTTCGAGTTCGAGTTAGGGTGGGGTTCCTAATGGGCCCCTATGTTGGTATCGAATTGATGGCTTTGCGTCTCAGGCTTGTTTTAGACGCCCTTTCGTTGGGATAGGCGGAGTAACGTGGTTGAAAAGGCTGTGATGCTTCCCTAACCCAAGACGCCCACGAAATCCACAGCCTCAACGGCCCATACTTAAGGCATCCCGCCGCTTGCGAGAGTCTTGGTATCCAGTGTTTCGGAATGACGACACCAAAATTCGTACTGATACTACCACTACTAATACTACTCACAATCATCCTGCTTCGTGTTGCTATGAACATTACTTTACTATAAGTGCGATTCCAACTGTTACTTTTTTCCTACAAGAGCTTGCTGCAGATAGTAGCCACTCGCCGCATGCGCGTACAGCCGGGCCGAGGCGGACGACGCGCAGCGTTTCAAATTCCAACTTTCTGGCTTCTACTATAATCTGGCGTTGTTCCTTCAGTACACAAATAAACAACGGCCGGTCCTAGTTCTTGGTGCCTTCCCCTGGCCCTGACTCATCCCCATGCCGACCGGCACAGGTCAGAATGGCGACTCACAAACCGGCCTGTTATAGGCCCTACATCATGTGTTTTTCTATACAGAACTTAGAACCCTAGCAACAATTCCAATTTTGGCTGTTACTTAGGGATTATAATCACCAAAAATTAAAAACTATTTCTAAGTACCACTAATCTAAGTTTCGTGGTTTATCACTTGCTATTCCGATCTCCACATTACTCGAAGGCCTCCGAGAGACACGGTCAACGGGCTGTCTGAATGAGAAAACCAGGTAGCCCCGCTCCGTCCGGAGCATTATTCAAAATTAGGGTTTAGTGTTTAGGGGAAACGGTTTCACTGCAAAGATGCAAACTCCCTCCGACCAGCTGGTAACGTTGACCGAACCCTTGCTAGAACCTGCAGTCCTTTTGGCGCAAGCAACATCAACCCTTGAACCCTAAACCCCAAACCCCTAAACCCTAAACCCCAAAACCCCCAAACCTAAACCCCTATACCCTAAACCCCAAAACCCCCAAACCTAAACCCCAAACCCCTAAACCCTGAAACCCCTGAAACCTCTAAACCCAATGCTGCTCATGGGAATTCCAGCCCGAAGCCCTCCGTCCGAAAACCGAGACCCCAAAGTGTCCAGCCCTAAGGGTCCAAGTACCCAAATACTAGGGTTTCAAGGTCCAAAAACCATTCAGGCTATGGATTTTGGGATCTAAAACCCTAATATTTGGGTGCTTGGACCCTCTGGGCAGGTACCCAAAAGGGGTTCTACAGGGTTCTATAGGGCTCCTTTAAGGCTTCCTAAAAGGAGTTTATAGGGCTCTTTTGAGGCTTCCTTTAAAGGGTGCTATGAGGGTAGAAGGGTTGATGGTAGCCAAATAGTATATACATGGGCCCCAAAGTACCTATATAGGGACTACTTTAAGGCCCAAGTATCTACAAGTTGGGTACGTGCACCGCTTGGGAACTGAGACTTCTAAGGAAACTCCGTGGGGGGGGGGACGTTTTGTTTTGCCTCCTTCTCTTTCCGACTGGATGATGTGGTCCACATCGTCCTGCAGGCGGTTTTACATGACACGAACACAGTGAGTCTGCAGGCATGTGCATATCTTTATTGATTAAGGCTAAGGAATAGTCCTTAAGATATAGTAGGATGCCTAATTTAGGATCTATAACTTGGGTCCTACACCCTAGCACCATAGACAGACAAGGAACCTCAAAAAAAGCTGCCACGACGGTTAAGGTTTAGGGCGTAGGGTTTAGGGCTCCTTTAAAGGGGTCTATGAGGGCTACTACAAGGGCAGTTTTAGGGGCTTAGGGTTTAGGGTTTAGGGTTTAGGTTTTAGGGTTTAGGGTTTAGGGGTTTAGGGGTTTAGGGTTTAGGTTTTAGGGTTTAGGGGTTTAGGGTTTAGGGTCTATTTCTAAGGATTGCCAAGGGGCGATGGTATAGGCCACGAAGGACAGCTGCCGCGTCAGACGCGCCGGGGGAACCAGGGCCTCAGGATGCGTTGAGGAACTCCTCTGCAGGGTCCCTCAACTGTTTCGTTTTGAAGGGTTCCTGCAAGGGATCTTGAAGGAATCTACAGGTTCCTTTAGAATGGTCCCTTTAAGGGATCTATACTTGGCGGGGCAGGGGACGTAGTAAGTAGGTTATAAGTAGAGTTATAAGTGCCCTAAAGGGAGTTACCTCAACTATAACCCGACTTATAAACGACATACTAAGTCCCCTGACCCTCCAAGTAGGGTTTGTTGTCTGGGTTACTTGGAAGTTCATGGGACGTAGTAAGTACAGTTATAAGTACCCTAACTGGGATTATAAGTAGATATAAGTGTAGTTACCTTAATTATAACCCTAGTTACTAAGTCCCATGAACGTTTAAGTAAGACCCAGAACTTCCAATATCCGAAGCTCCCAGGTTCGGTGTTCGTTATTTCTCTCTTTTTCAACAACCGCGCCACTAAAAGCTCAAACTTTCTAAGATAGAGCCAATATATAAGGCCAGAAAATTTCAAGTTCCCCCGTTCACTATCAAAAAATTTAAAGTTCCCGCGTTCACTATCAAAAAGTTTAAAGTTCCCCCGTTAACTATCTAACACTATGTTGTTTGTCCTGCATCGTCTTTGCTCTGGGGGGCTCAACCTTACGGGGTAAACCCTGAACCGGCCCAAAACTAGGGTTTAGGGGTTCAGGGGTTTAGGGTTTACCAGCACCCCCCCCACTACCCTCTATCGTAACCTAAATACCCACCATTAATTAAGGACCATAAGGGCTGTATTAAAGGGTACTTGGGGGGTGCGGGTAGGGCCCTAAACCCTGAAAGGGAAATCCCAAGCTGCCTCCATCTCACCCGCAGCTGAGCCCAAGCTCGGAAGAGCTGTCGCACGTTCCTTGCAACAACAAGTGTCAATTTTTTGGGGTTTAGGTTTTAGGGTTGAGGGTCTTACAGTGAGGTTAGGGTTTAAGGTTCAGGGTTTTAGAATCACCCAGGGATCTTACAAGAAGGAAAGCCACCGAACTTTACAGGACCTACTCTGGGTAGAACCTCCTTAGGCTGTTCTAGACTGGGCGCAGGATTCTAGCGTATAAGGCAAGGCCATTTAGGATTTGAGGTAGCTTTGAAGGTTCAGGGTTTAGTGTTTCCCAGAGGGTCCAAGTACCCAAATAGTAGGGTTTGAGATCCCCAAATCCACCTCTGAATGGTTCTTGGACCTTGAAACCCTACTATTTGGGTACTCGGACCCTTAGGGTTTGGGTTTGGGGTAGTACAGTAAAAGCCCAAAAGTTGGAAACCCCATAGCTCAATCCTTAAGAGTACTGTATAGGGAATCCCAGCACTATTTGGCCTTAATCCGGTTTCCAACTTTATGGGGTTTACTGTAGTATAATATACCCAAACCCTATTCAAATTAGTAGTGAGGCCCCTATATTATAGTACCCATTATAGTACCCCTTGTTTTTAGACCAACTTTATGGGGTTTACTGTAACTTTGAAAACCCTAAACCCTAAACCCTAAAACCCTAAACCCTAAACCTAGGGTTTGGGTTTGGGGTAGTAACTTTGAAGGGTTTAGGGTCCCGGGCTGTGGGGCATCAGGGGCCTCCGCACTCCCAAGGCTGCATGGACTTAGGGCTTACTTGGAGGGTCGGGGGACTTAGTAACTGGTTATTTTAAGGACTTATAAGTACCATAACCCCAATTAGGGTCCCTTTTAGGGTACTTATAAGTCTACATACTACCTACTTACTAAGTGCCCCGACCCTCCAAGTAGGGATTACCTGTGGATCCAAAAACCTACCGTTTTAAGGGTCAGGCCCTTTAATTAAGGGGTCATAACCTACTATTTAGTAGGGTTTGGAGTCACAGGTACAGATTTAGGATTTAAGGGTTTGGGGTTTAAAGGGGTTCAGGGATAAGGGATTTAGGTATTTAGGGACTAGGGTTTAGGATTATTATAGGGTATAGGGATTTAGGGTGTAGGGTTGCGCCCTTAATTACTAACACCCCAAGACCCTAAAGCCCCAAACCATAAAGGCCAGACCCCTACATAGCATAATAAGCCTGAACTCAACCCCAAACCCTATAAAGTCCCAAATCCTAAACCTACAACCCAAATTACACCCTAAACCCCATAAACGCAAAATCCGAAAGTCCCCACAGATCCCCTTGTAGCACCACTCATTATGACAACCCTTGACGGACGCCCTTAAAGGAACACTAAACCCTTAAGCCATGTACGGCTCAGGCGTGGGAGGTTTCGAGCTCATGGGTTTAGGGTACCACGGTTTAGGGAGCTTTGGGTTCAAGGGCTAAGGGTTTTTGGGGTTTGGGTGCTTAGGGTTTAGGGTTTAGGGGTTTCAGGGTTTAGGGCTTGGGGTAATTATTGGGGTTTAGGGTTTAGGGTATAGGGTATTGGGGTTTTAGGGCTTTGGCCGTTTAAGGTTTAGGGGTTCAGATGGTTAGGGTTTATAGGCTTGCAACCTCCCCACCATCGGCCGCGAAGCGGTCCTTGATAAGAGCTTCTTCAATCAAAGCGGAAAGTGAGGGACCCTTAATGGGGACCCCTATCCTATAATTGGCTATATTATGGGTATATAATAGCTATACTAAGGGTATATACCTAGGGGTCCTTATTAAGGGTCCCTCCTTTTACCCTTGGATTCAAGGGATTCCTTTAATCAGCTTATTCGATTGCCAGACACTTTCAGACTATTCTAAAGGTCTAGCAGGTTCCCACAGTATAGGCTGCCTCATGGGCTCTAATTCAATGGCTGTCGTGGTTAAGAGTGAGAGGATAGCGGCCATAATGATCAGATACAGTTCGGGGGTGGGCTCCTCAAACTCGAAGCGGTTTTTGGCGTCTGCAGCGCAGAGGGACTCGAGCTGCTTCTCCTCGAGGCCCAGCTCGCAGGATAAGTTCTCGAACCAATCAGTGTCAGCTCTTGTCGGTAGAGGAGACATTCGCGACGTTTGAGTTGTTTGTCGCCACTGAGAAAGCTCCCGTGTGCGAAATTCGAGCAGATGGAGAGCTTCAGAACCGCCTCGTTCATGTCGCAGCGGGAGAGCGCCCTTTTGAAAGCGTTCCAAAGAGGGTGTGCTAGTTCGGGTTCAATGTCCCCCCATAAACGGAGGACGCTGAACAAGTAGCGCCATGACTTGCACTGCTGGGTCTCCTCATCGCAGACCGAAAGGCTGATGCCGGCAAACCTGCTGGCTTCCTCCGCCTCCAAACCCTAAACCCAAAACCCTAAACCCTAAACCCTAAACCCTAAACCAGCCGCAGCGATCCACCCGACCGACCGAGTGTCTGAGAAGCCACGTTAGTGACTTTAGCGCCCACACGAACGGCGCCTACGGGGCAGCATCCAGGACTGCCCACTGAAAGGAAGCTGACGTCCCGACACAACAGGAAACCCTAAGCCCTAAACCCCTAAACCCCAAACCCCTAAACCCTAAAACCCTAAACCCTGTACTGATTGGCCTGTAGAACTCCCACTCTCATAGTACCCGTGATTATAGTACACCCTGATACTGTAGGAACCTCTATTGAAGAACGTCAAGCCTTAAATGCGCCCCTTGAAAGGAAACCTCTGAACGGAAACCTTCAAAGGAACCCCCGCAAGGAAACCTTAAAAGAAACCCTAAAGGGAAACACCAAAAGGAAACCTTTAAAAAGATAACCCATCGAAGGATCTCGAAAAGAAATCCCCAAGAGGAGCCTTAAACCCTAAACTCCAGAATCCTAACCCCCCCTAAGGGTCCTTATACCCAAAGGGCACATTATACTGTGGCCCCAAAGTACCTATATCGAGACAATTTTAAGGTCAAAGTCAATACCATTTGGGTACATGTTACATGGATCCTAAAACCCTACAACCCCTAAAAGGAGCTCCTAAGGTAGAGTAACGCTTCCGAGAGACCGAGCCGGAGCGGCTCGGAGCCCTTCGAAAAGAGAAGGGTGTGGGGTGTGTAGGGTTTACCTTAACCTCAAAAAACCTACCTTATTAAGGACTGTGAAATCATATTAGGGAACCCTACAAAAAGGTAGGTTCCTTACGGTCCAGGTAGGGTTTGGGCTTTTTCGTGATCAGGGTCTAGGGTTTAGGGTTCAGGATCTACCTGGACCCTTCAAAAACCTTCCTTTTGAAGGGTTCCCTAGTATGATTTCCTTATACAAGTCCTTAAAGTCGCTTAGGGTTGAGTGACCCCCCCCCCCCCCAACAACCCGTTTCATAGAGTCCTTATTGCCCTTCAGAGCGGGTATTTGGGGTATAGTAGAGGTTAGTTGGGGGTCTAGGTAGGGTTTAGGCTTTAGGGTAAGACTACTGTATTACAGAGGTTTGGGCTGTAAAAATATGTCGTTAGTCTTGATGGTTCTGGGGGTTAAGGGCTTGGGTTTCTGGGACGCTTTCGGTGCTTCAAAGCTTAAAACAACGTGTAGGCTATACCTTAGGTTAGGGTAACTACTTTTCTATGTAACAAATCCTAATCATAAGACTCGGTATCCAAAACAAAGGTAGGGTATAAGCCTCTAGGACTGCAAGAGGAACCCGGATCTTGCAAAGACATCTTCCAGTGTTTCGTGTTTAGGGTGTAGGAAGTGTAGGAGCTTAGAGGTGTAGGGTTTCGAGATGTTTAGGGTTTAAGGTTAATTTAGGGTTTCGGTATGTTGCGGATTTAGAGTAATTCACGGTCTAGGGATATTTAGGGTTCAACGTTTAGGGTTTAGGGTTTAAGGCTTAAGGTTTAGGATTTAGCGTAGTGTAGGGTGTAGGAACTCGAATGAAGAATCTTCCTATAATCACATGATGGGTCCAGCGACAATGCAATGCACATTGAGAATGCCACTCCGTAATTCAACTGAGGTATGTTGAAGGATCTGGATCTGGTAGGTATAGATAGAAACGAAGCCTGCAAAAAGTCAGCAAACATTAACCCCTACACCCTAAACGGTACTCACCGCATGGGGGCATTACCATTCCAAGTCCAATTGTAGGCTCGCAGGTGGCTGTCTTTAGACTTTAGCACATACCACAGCACAGAGGCTCAAAAGATTCAACCGTGAACCCTAAACCCTAAAGCATTCGTTTGGGGATATTGGCACTAATGAGCTCATATATATATATATATATATATATATATATATATATATTCAGGTCTCTTTGTTAAAACCTGTCTAATATGGATCTGTGCGGGATTATAAGGAAAAAGCTACTTCTGCATGCCCGCATGTTAGGCGCTGGTGCTTCGTAGTTTTGAGACTTTGCGTGGAAGTTAGACCCCTATACCATAACAGCCCGCATTCAAAAAAACACAAACCACCGAACAGTTGCAACATGGACTGGGGATGACTAGTGCTAGGCTTGTGGGGTCCTCATACTGGGAATAGGGTTTAGGGTTCAAAGTTTTGATTCAGTTGATACTACACGAACCAGGGAGCTGCAAGGAAATGCTACTAAATAATATTCAAACCCTTATGTCTATAGTCTATATAACTATGTATACCCAACCTCCCCGAACCCTAAACCCAAACCTGAAATCCTCGAATCCCAATCCCCAAAACCGCAAATACCTAAATCCCTAAACCCTAAATCCCCAAAACCCTGAATCCCCCAACTATTGAATCCTTAAAATCCTAAAAAGCACCAAAACTGTCCAAAAAGCACCAAAACTGTCAACTATTGAATCCCTAACATCCTAAAAAAAACCCAAACTGTCGACACACTACGCCTGGACGAGCTGGGCGTCGTCATCAGCTGTACTGACTGTCGGAGCTCCTCTCCAAGCCGAGGATTTTAGGGTTTAGGGTTTACGGTTTAGGTTTCCCTAACCCTAAGTCAAGGCTCAAAATAGCCCAGAAGCCTTATGTAGTATGGTCTTTGGGCCCAAAAGCCTCAACATATGAGTCCTTAGAGCCTAAGGGTAAGGGTCCATGTATCCAAATCGTATATACTTTAGGCCCAAAGGACCTATGTATAAGGCAAAAGTATATTATATTTGGGTACATGGCCCTTTGGGTTACAGGGGTATGTTTAATCTACTTGCGTGTTTGAAGCTTGGGTAGGCCCAAACTCATGTCGGCACGATCTTTCTCTATTTGGGGCAGGGCAGGGCAGTTTCGGATGCAGGATTTAGGACTCAGGCTTTGTTGTTTAGGGTTTACGGCTTTGGTTTAGGGTTTATACAGGGAGCCTTTGATTGAAATCCTGTTAAAATTATAAACCATGCCGAAACCTGACGTGTAGTTACCACCGCCTTCAGACACAGAAGGGGAGCATAGAACCATGCTACGGCCACCGTAACTGCTAACTACATACCACTCAATACGCAATGGTTCCCCAGTCACCCCTTAACAATCAGGGTGCCCTTTATCTCAATATTCGGCGTTGATAAGGAGAGCAAAGGAAGTACTACCGCGGAACCGAGGCAAAGGAATCCAGACAGAACTGTGGAAGACGCCTTAACGAAGTCCTGCTGGTACCCTCATTCAGCCCCGAAATGACCTGACCACGCCCTACTCAAACAAACATAGGGAAATACAATGTCACAGAAGACCTGTGGAACCCTCATTGATCAAATCAAAAGAAGAACCTCATATTACTGAGAAGGACAACTCGCCCTAAATCCCAAACCCCGTCCCAAGACCTTAAACCCTAACCCCCGCCCCCCCCCCCCAAAAAAAAAAAAAAACTAAACCCTAAACCCCTAAACCTTAAACCCTCAGCCCTAAACCCCTAAACCCCTGAACCCCTAAACTCCTAAAAACTAAACCCCTAACTCCTAAACCCTAAACCCCAAAACTCCTAAACCCTAAACCCCTAAACTCTAAACTTAAACTCCTAAACCCCTAAACCACAAAAAAAACACAAAAAACGCAACCTCTCGAAGCTTCCTGGGCGCAGGCGGTCACACGCTTGCGGCCCGAGCGGGCCTCGCCAGGCTGATAAGAATAAGAAGAACCTCGAGTAACCTAAGGGATGCAATTCCCAAAGGGTCCTATGTACTGTTATTCGGGGGATACTTCCCTAAGTCGTTATAGTAATTCCTCATATGGAAACCCTACATTCTACTATATCGGTACATAGGACCCTTTGGGATGTATAAGGGATCTATGAGGAATCCATAAGGCACCAATATAGGGAACCTAGAGGTTCTGGACCTTTTAGGGCTTAGGGGTTTAGGCTTTTGGGTTTTAGGCTTTAATGCCAGCCACATCGGCAATATGCCGAAGTCCTTCCAAACTCCCAATGGGAACCCAGACCGACGCATTTCCATGCCAAATGAGGTAAGTGTCGCGGAGACTGATTACCAACTTGGCTTTGAGGAAGTGCTCCGCCAGCCTGTGTGCCACTGACCCGATGAGCCCTAGGCTAGGTGTGGGCATATCGTAGATGCGGTTGCCCTCACTGGGACCATCATCGCCCTCCCCGGGCATGAAGTGCTCCTCCTCACGAGAAACACCACGGCCCTCATACATCTGCACCAAGGCAGCAAGCTGCAAAGAGCGAGACATCTTCAGGCACAAGGTGTATAGAGATTGGGGACAGAAGCAGATTTCAGATCAGCACAGAATTCGAGCTTAATGCTCGGTATATCACCCAATGGGTGGTATACCGCATCTTAATTGCAACTTTTGCTTTACGCGGGCTCTTGGCTTTAGAGTTTTAGGGTTTTAGGCTTTAGGGTTTTTTTCAGTGTAATTTAGGGTTTTTTGGGCTTTAGGGTTTTGGGCTTCAGGGCCTTAGGGGTAAGCGGTTGTATGCATGCGTTTGGGCTCGCATCGTGCCAGGATTCCATGTCAGGTCCAAGAGCAGTGAAATTACGGGAGCCAGCGTTCTATAACGGTTTTATGGGGTTCAGGGTAGAAGGGCTCATGTACCCAGATAGCATATTCATATGGTGATACTTTAGGGCCAGCGTATCTACGATATGGGTACATGCACCCTTGGGGCAGTAACCAATGTATCTTGAAAACAGAATATGACAATAACAAATAGAAACATATCTCTTTTTAATAATGTACATTGGTTACTCTAGGAAAAGCGGTTGATTTGGTGTTGTTAAGGGCTCTTTGCAGCCGCAAAGGTTTTAAGTCTAGGGGTTTGGATATTTTTGTGTTTTGGATAAAGGTCCAGGGTTCAGGGTTTCCTGCGGGATCTATGGTAAACCCCAAACCCTCAACCCTAAACCCGAAAGCCAAAACCCCAAACCCGAAATCCTAAACCCCAAACCCTATATCCTCAACCCTTAACGCCAAAAACCTGAACCCTTAAACCATTTACAGTAGAAGCCAGAAAGTTGGAACATCATTATCCTCATGCCCTTAAGGTAAAGTATAAGGGATCCTAGCACTAATCCTCCTAAAGCCATGTTCCAACTTTCTGGCTTCTACTGTAGACCCTAATCCCCAACACCCCTGAGCTGCCGACAGAAGCTGGGCCGTTGTCCTCCAGCTTGCGGCTAAGGGCTTCCGGTAGTTCTCGAAATCAGGATGCCAACTTTCTAAGTCCTAAATTTAGCACGGCACCCGTATAGAAAAGACCCTATTTTGGAGAACTACCCACAATGGTTATATAGGGCGTGTACGAGCCTTTTGGAGAGCGTTCAACGAGTTTGGCGAGCTTGAAAAGACTGTGTAGGATTGGGGTTCAACGTCTTGGAATGGATCATGTCTTTTGTCTTGTTTCGTCGCTTGGCCATGCACAACCTGACGAGTTGCACCTCCAGCCTGTAACACTAAACCCCCAAACCTAAGGCCCGAATATGCCCTAATCAAACCCCACCCCAAATCATACATGTTCTAAGACGCTAAACTTAGGCTCCTTCGACAACTTCAGGTCATCTGCCTACGACCCCCGAATAGCCTTGTGCTGCACTCCTGCCTCAACAGCAATGTAGTGCCGAGGCCTGAATCATAAGTAATTAAGACATGTGCTTATACCTTGGGTAAAATGGCAATATCGAAATATCCTTGGCAGAGGATTGGGGATATGAAGGCCTTGCACTGAAAGCACCTTGTAAATGCCGGCGCCTAAGCCACAAAGGCAGTCTCTTAAGACCAAGACCTCAATCACTAAGGCCAATCCCCACCCGCACCCCGCCGTGTAAACTTGTCTTTTACGTAGGGCCAACCCCAAACCAAACCATAAACTCCAAACCCTAAATTTCTAGGGATCTAAGGACTCATATATTAGGGTTTAGGGTTTATTGCTTTTGGGCCCGAAGACCTTACTACGTAAGGCTTTTGGGCTTTTTGATGCCCAAGGAATAAACCCTGACACACCCCTGGAACTCACAATAAACAAAACCACTTGCCGCCAAAGCGCGTCTGCAGAAGACCTTGGCTTACCCTTACTTGACGGATCATGGGACTTAGCAACTGGGGTTATATAGTAAGGTAACCATATACTTATATTTCGTTATCACCTAATTAAGGTACTTATAACTTTACTTACTAAGTCCCACGGTCCTCCAAGTAGGGTCCATGTGTTCAAAAATCCTTTAAATATTTCGCATGCGGGATCCCTATAACGGCTTTCTTTAAGTGAAGACGAGGAGCTTAGGGTTTAGGGTATGGTATAAGGGTCCGTGTTTTCAATCGGTATAGACTTTGGCCCCAGGAGTACTTATACATTTATAGGGACTACTTTAAGGCCAAAGTATATACGATTTGGGCACATGGAGTGCTGTAGGACACTCGGCGCTTAGGGTTGCAGTCGCTTTGACCCTCAGCCCTAAGGCCCAATACCCACCTGGGTTGGGTTGTCGATTTCTATGAAGCGTCTGTACCTATAGTCTCCATTGTAGGAATGAACTCTTGCTTGAGGGCCTTTGTAGTGTCTGCATTTACTCCCTGCAATAACGCCTGGATTCCCAGGTGCCTGGAATCTAGAGCCTCCTAGCCCTAACTCAATCAGCCCCGGCAGGAAGCCTAGATACTGCTTCCAGGCGTTCCTTCTAGCGTAGGTTTAAAAACTATAGCTTAATTAATTTGGGAAGTTCTGGGCAACTCCGCAGCTTTCTCCCAAGTCCCGAAGACTTAACCCTAAGGCGCAAACCTGAGGCCCCAGAATCCCTACACAAACCCCTAAGGGGTCCTTAAAGGGTTCTTCAAGGGTACTGTGGGGTTTAGGGTTTAGAGTTAATGGGGCTTCCTGCAAGGGATTCTTTAAGGTCCAAGCGCATCATTTACTCTTTCTAATGTTAGCCTACACTACATACTATCACAAGCCCGAGTAACGAATCATTGGGTCCATTGGGCTCTTAGGAAAACTCAACTAATCCTAACACATAATACTTGCAGGATCCTCTAGAAATATGGTAGAAACATACCAGTAAACAACGTGTGCAAACTAGAAAAAACAGACGAATCCTTATATGACCCACGAGCCAAGATGCGGTGCAGACACCTGCCGCCCGAAGCCTCGTGAGGCAGAAGGTTCTACAATTATGTAATTACGGCTCATGATAAAAATCCTGCATTACCCATAATAAGGAATATACCATAATTCTCATAGTTCAGGGTTCTTAAGGTAATGCAGGATTTATATCATCAACTGTAGTGCTTCTCTAGAGTCCAGGGTTCAAGTTCTGAACCTCTAAACCCTAGACCCTTAGCAGATCCTAACAATATGGTTGAATAGGTACCTCCATAGCAACCATAAGCGAAATTTCGAACAATAAACCTTACTACGGCATCTTCAAAGACTGTTTGAGGGTGTCGTCCCAGCGTGCCGGGCCCCAATTAGTCCAAACTAGGTAATGCTCATAGACTTTGGCCGCCAAAGTAGGTACGACTGGTATACTTGGAGTCCTGTAGATATAACAGCCTCAAGAATGCAGTCCCCTTTGCGGAGATCTACATTACAGACTCAAGAAATCCAACCATCCTGAACGCCGAATATCTTGTGGGATGTCGGAACTCAGGACTTGGTGCTGGCAGGTTTATTAGTTTTGGGGTTTAGGGTTTTACAGTGTGTGGCACAGGGTCCAACAATCCAATTGTAAATCCCTCAAACCCTTATATAATGCCCTGGCAGATCTCCTTTCAAGACTCTCTTGGAACCATTAAACAACCCTATAAGGGTCCATGTACCCGAATAGCATATACTTTGGTCCCAGAGTACCTATATAGGGACTACTTTAAGGCCAAAGTATATACTATTTGGGTACATGGACCCCAGGACAAAGGAACCCAAAACCCCTAAGACGCCTAAACCCAAAACACTCCTAAACCCTAAACCACTACCTTAACCCTGACTAACCTACCTTTTTAGGGTTCCTTACTTTGATTTCCTTATATAAGTCCTTACAAAGGTAGGTCCTTCAGGGTTAAGGTAAACCCTAAACCCCTAAAACGCTCGAAAATACTACACCCCTAAACCCTTGAGCCCAGATGCCCGAGAGCACCATCGGCGGCTTCGTGGACGGCGTGGGCTTCTGCCAAGAGACTTTAGTAGGCTTTAGGGTTCAGGGTTGTGTCGTTGCGGGTTTAGAAGTTAGTGAAGAAGTTAGTTGCTAGGGTGTTGGGTTTTCTGTGCATATAAAACCCTAAACCCTAAAGCCTAAATTAAAAGCCCCGAAACCCCCGAATCAAGCAACCTCGAACCGAGATTCCACGGGCATTAAGCTTGGGTCTTGCAGTTTATGATTTCGTGTATGCCATCTTTGTTATACTTGTGCATGTGTCTGCACATGTGTAGATGTGTATGTGTATATATATATATATATTCGTTAGTTTATTTGCATATGTAGACGATACATGATACATGTGTGTACAATTAGGTGCATACGAACACGCATGCGCACACGCAAAACAACAACCAAGACCAACTAAAACTATCCCTCTCTCTGCATGCATAAGTCTGTACCCAAAAGCAGTCTCACACTTAATGTTCATGGGAATTGATGAGGAAAGGTATAGATAAGGCAGTGATTCTGTTAATTCATATCTTATATATGCCCCAAGCAAGGCACTGAGAACCTTTCTGACAATATCCCCAAAACCCTCAAACCAAACACTATGAATGCCCTTAAAGTACGCGTGCAGAAACCGAAAATCAAACAGAACCCAAAGACCTTACCTACGAAGTACTAAATCCCACGATCCTCGAAGTAGGACCACAGCCAGCTATTACGATTGCACCGGGTCGGGGGCTCGAGTTGGGGAACATCAGCACCCTAAGGGTCCAAGTACCCAAATAGTAGGGTTTCAAGGTCCAAAAACCATTCAGAGTATGGATTTCGGGACCTAAAACCCTACTATTTGGGTACTTCGACCCTCTGGGGCAAATATCTGCGGATTTGCCAGATTTGTATTGGAGGCTCCTTTGCGGGTGCCATAAGAGTTTAACTACGACCCCTACAATGCGACCACGAACTCTCAACCCGGTACTCAACCGAAGCCATGTAGGAACAATCTGGGCCTAAAACCTAGCCCTTAGTTCAAAGCCAAAAGTCTGAGCCTTAAAACCCTAGACTTCTAAACCCTGAAACCCGCAAACCCCTGCATTCAAGTAACCCTTTTAATAACCCTTGTAAGAACTGAGCCCTTACAGTAACCCTTATAGAAAGAATCCCATATAGCCCTAAGGCTCCATGTACCCATATAGTACATATTTAGGCCTTAAAGTACCTATATAGGGACCCCTTTAAAGCTTAAGTATTTACTATAAAGGTACATGGAGCCTTAGGGCCATACAGTCAACACTTAGCTGCTTGGTTCATAAATGTTCATAAGGCCGAAAAAGTAAACTTTCTTTACACTTTCAGTTTTGTAGGAGATAATATAATCCCCAAAAAGTAAGGGTAAGACCAGCATCTTCAGCGACTAGGCCACCCTAAACCCTAAACCCTGATAAAGCCGAGGCGCCTCAACCAGTGAGTGCCTGGATAGGGTGCGATCGCTCCGAGGGATCCATAAGGGGCTGCTGTAAAGAGTTCTATGAAGGGTTTTAGGGTTTAGGTTTTAAGAGTTCCTTTAAGGGTTTTGGGGTTTGGGTTTTAGGGGTCCTTTACGGGGTCTAGGGTTTAAAGTTTAGGATTTAGGGTTTGAAGCCCTGTACGGCGGGGTCCTGGAAAGGGTTCGATTCAGGGTTGGGCTCCTTGACGGGTTCCTTTACGGTTCTATTTAAGGGTCCCTTCCCATTCGGGATTAAGGGTTTTGCAAAAACGGGGTTGAATGTACTTCAAGGGAACTGGATAGATACCGGCATTGTCAAGTCATGAGTTTCTTTCATCTGTAGCCCGTTGGCAGAGCAAGAGCATCACCCCGCGAACCAGGCTTTACTGTATGGAGCACTGAGAACAAGGAAGGTTTACTGGTAATGGTAACAGGAAAGCTCGGTGATAGCAGCTAGCAGCATGTTCACACCCACAGTCCTAGACCATGAATTTGTACACTCCGATAAAGATACCCTAAAGCCCTAAACCCTGGGCATTGCCAACCCAGGTCTCTGAAAAGGGCCATAGGCGAGAACCGGCCTGCACTGCCTCCTCTAGGCACCTTAATAGACAACGAATGCGTATATACACATGTGCAACAGACCGGGGTAGGTTCCCCCCCCCCCCCCGCCCCCCCCCCCTTCCCCCCCCCTGCCCCCCCCCCTGCCCCCCCCCCTGCCCCCCCCCCTGCCCCTCCCTGCCCCCCTCCAGGCAAAGTTCGGAAATAGCGTTGCTTTGGGCAGCACAGCACGCGGCTCCACGACCTAACCTTCTCATAGCATCGGAGATTCAAGCATCGCTATCGCCAGCTAGGGGGAGATGCTACAATGGTTACATCAACCTCTTGCTGGCTTCTTGAGACAAGCCCTCTGCCTTACGCTACTCTGCCCTGCTTTGCCCTGCCCTACAATTAATACAAGTGCGATTCCAACTGTTGTTATTTTCGTACAAGAGCTTCCTGCTGCGCCGGATGGTAGCCAGTCGCCGCATGCGCGAAAAGCCGGGCCGAGGCGGACGACGCGAAGCGTTTCAAATTACTGAATGGGAATTTGGCGTATTTTTATACTATATAGTCATAAGGAGCCCCGAAGTGGTACAGGCAATTATTAAGGCCCCTGTCCTAAACCCCAAGCCCTATAGATCCCGTATAAATCCCTTAAGGATCCCTTCCAAGGTAGACACAACCTGTCACAACCTATGCAAATCTAGATCCAAAGGCTTCAAGCCCACATCAGGCCACAGGAAATCCCTGCGCCAGGCAAAACCGTCTGAGCTTGGATGAACACCCCCAGGATCCCCACTGAAACTCTGAAAACTGCCATCAGAATAAGCCTGTGCTTACGACCCTGAACTTTCTTTTTATTATCAAAAGCCGGAACCCTAAAACCAAAACCCTAAACTCCAAAATCAACGGATCCCTGAAGCCAAAACGAGCCCTTAAAGGAACCCTATTTCCACCCCGCCATTTATGCTAAAAAGCCCTTTGGCCTCAGGGTCTCCTTTGAGCTGGGCCGCGAGCCTCCAATCCGGCTGAGGTTTGAGTATAGGGTTTAGGGATTAGGGGTTTAGGGGTTTAGGGGTTTAGGGTTTAAGGGTTTAGGGTTTAGGGGTTTAGGGGTTTGGGGTTTAGGGGTTAGGGTTTAGGGTTTAGAGATTAGGGTAGTATAGGGTATAGGGTTTAGGGTTTGGGGTTTGAAAGGGTTTAGGGCAATGGGGGAAAGTCCGAGGTTTACTCCTGCCTTTACTTACGAAAGAAAAGGGTGGGCACATGGGGGGAGGGAGGGGGGGGTACATGTGTATGTATATATATATATATGTGTGTGTGTATATATGAAGAAAAAGAACTGCATATTAAGTGTGAAACTGTTCAACCCGAGAACCATAATAAACAAAAATGCGATTGATTACCCCTTGGAGGTGCATTATAATGAAAAACCCAAATCCCGACACCGTACGTAAACCCTAAGAGCACCTAGCCCTACACCCAAGTCCTAAACCCCAGCCCTAAACCCCTAAGCGCTAAATCCTAATTTCGGGGTCCTTGTACGTTTGAAACAGTGGAACTAAGGATACCTTCAAGGGCACCACAAGGGCTTGGGGTTTCGGGTATAAGGTTCCACGTGACGAAAATAGTCGGTACTTTATCCGACAGCACTGCCACCACCTTAAGAGGGCAACAGGGACTGCCTCCAGGCCAATGTATACACCGTAAAGGTACATGGACCTCTTACGGGCCACGAAAGGGTCGGTGATAATGCCAACGGCAGGAGTCGTAGTAGCAGTGGTAGTACCGGAAGCAGCGACAGGAGCTGGTCACAGCAGCAGGGGTAGGAGTAGGAGTGGGGGTAGGAGAAAGAGTAGGAGTAGGAGTAGGAGGAGTGGAAAGAGTAGGAGCAGGAGTAGGAGTAGGAGGAGGGGGAGGAGGAGTAGGATCACGGTAAAAGTAGGAGTGGTAAGAGTAGGAGTGGGAGTGGGAGTACGAGCACTCCGAGCCCTTTACAGATACCTTTGCTGTACAGAAGCGCAACTATTATTGAGGCCGCTTTACAGAAGCCCTAAACTCCCGAAACTCACCAAACCCTCGAACAAAAGCCCTGGCACCCACAACCTCACAAGGTTTAGGGTTTAGTTAAGGATTACCCTCGACCCAGGCATTATGACACGAAGCCGCCTGCCAAGGTCCTAGAAGATCAGACTCAAAGCCCTTCAAACCCAAACAACAATCTCTAGGACGCACTATAATTCGCTGCAGAGCCCGGTTGAAGCGACGCAAGCCGAAACGCTGAAGATCGTCGTTGCAATCTAACCCTATGAAGCCACCTGAATATTAGCAGAACGCCAATCAAACCCCCTAAATCCGAAACACTAAGGCCTAGTTGTGGATATCTTTTAAATATATACAACCCTTATGGAAACCCTTCTAAGATCCCCAAACCACCAGAGCCCGAGGTGTTGACATCGCCAGTCCTAGACCGACACCCCCAAACCCTCCCTAAGGCTCAAAATAGCCCAAATGCCTTACATAGTACGGTCTTTGGGCCCCAAAGCCTTAACACAAATGAGTCTTTAGAGCCTAAGGGAGAACACACCCCGGAACCCAACACCCTGAAACACCAAAAACCAATTAAACCCTAAACCCCAAACACACCCCACAAATGCTGAAGCCATCTTCATTGGGTCGGCGTCCTCCTTCGCTGCAGGTCGTGGCCGACTCCCCTGGCTCGGAGCATAGATTTTTAAGACAACCAGTGTGAAGGTTCAGGGTTTGAGGATGGGGTAAGTGTTCCTTCAACGGCTCTTGTAAGGATCCATTGGGTGTAGGGGGCTAGGGTCTAGGGGAGGTGTAAGACAATTCGTGTGAAGGTTTGGTACCTTCCTGGCTGGGGATCCTTTAAAGGGATCTATAAGGGTTCCTTTAAGGGTTCCTGTAAGGGATCTTTAGGGTTTTGGTGTTTTAAGGTTTACCAGCGGATCCAAAAAAGTACAGTTTTAAAGGTTAGACTCTCTAATTAAAGGGTCATAACCCACCACAAAAACGCACGGTGTTAAGGGTTAGACCCTCTACTTAAGGGGTTTTTAACCCACCATTTTGTAGGGTTTGGGGCCACAAGTATTCCTTAATTAAATCGTATTATTGATCCTACTAAGATTCATTTCCTTAATTCCCTTGTAGAACCCTTGTAGATCCCTTTGAGGAACCCAAGGTTGAGGGATAGGGGTGAGAGCCCCTTGGAGGCGAGGGCGGTTAAAGTGTTCCTACCCCCCAAAAAAAAACAATAGTGACTATAAGGATTATATTAGGGTTCCTTTAAGGGGATCTATATGGGGGGTCTTAAGGTTCCTATACTGAACTTAGAACCCGAGCAAAGATTACAATTTTAGCTGTTTCTTAGGGATTATAAAACTAAAATTAAAATGTATTTCTACTTACCCCTAAGGTTTGGGCCATCTAAGTTTCAGGGCTCAGCTTTTTCAGATTTGGGGTAAATGGGGTTCAGGAATTAGAGCTCTGTGCTGTGCTTCTTGTGGCTTAGGGTGTACTGGTACTGTAGAGACTATTCTCTTGGCGATGGCTGGCTTTGTTTTTGAGCTCTATCCCTAAACCCTTATCAGGTCCACGGTTTAGGGTTGTGATAGACTTGGGTTTTCATCCTCGCAGGTGCTTCGCATTCTACATGATAAGGGTTTAGGGCTTAAGCTGTATAAGCGAATTGTAATTTGGATTTTGCAGGTTGGCACGTAAGCAGGGTTCGAAAGAAGAAGTATATTGACTTGTATAAGGATCCCATTGCCACTCGAAGGCTGGGACGTCTCGGTCGCGGCCATCATACGAACGATGCTGGGAAGCAGCTGAATGAAAATCAAGCTACCCCGACATGTGTCCGTGCCAAGAATCGCTCGGGTGGCTCAACCACATTGAACGAGCAGCCCGGCACCCGAATCCCGAAGCCCCACCACATCAAAATCCGATGGGCCGACGCATCCGCTCATACGGCGGATCCTTGCATACATGTTCTGCTGGCAAAATGGGGTGGCCGTATAGCCAGGGCGTGACCCGGTTCCAAATGCCATCATCGGACTGGTAGTTCTTCATTTGAACCACACGCCGAAGTCAATCATCTCTTGCAGGATCCCGTTGGATCCGGGAAGCATACCCAGCAGTGGCGGTAACCTTCCGCTACTGCCTCAGTCATATCTTTCCAGATCCATTTACCAGAACGCACATGGCTTCCTTGAACGTGCCAACATGTTCCCTTGTGGAACACTCGCGCTTTCGATCCTGTCGAAATCTTCACTTTACCGACGCCGGCCTCTCGACTTCCTTCGAGGCTGTTGGGGTCGGGTTTAGTGTTAAGGGGTTTAGGCTTTAGGGTTAAGAATTTAAGGCTTCAGGGTTTAGGGTTTGAGGGTTTGAGGGTTCTAGGGTTAAGGGTTTTAGGGTTAAGGTTTTAGGGGTGCTGGCTTTCTGTTGATAAATTAACATTAGCAAGACTCACTTTTCACCTTAGTTACTAAGTCTCGTGATCTTTTCGAACCCTAAACCCTTAAAACTTAAAGGGAACTCGTGCCCTTAAGGAACCCTAACATCTGGCTATTCAGTCCCATGATCCTTTAAGCGCACTTCACCCTGAACCTTAAACCTAAAACCCAAAACCCTAGACCCCAAACCCACACAGAGACAACCAACTTTCAACACCAGCGTCCTGAATCTGTCGCCTACAGAAACCGTAAACCCTAAACAGCTGCAACAGTACGGGTTATGACCCCTTGACAGAAATTAGAGGGTCTAACCCCTAAAACAGTAGGGTTTGGGATCCCCTGGTAAACCCTAAACCTTAGACCCCCTAAACCCAAAAGCCTAAACCGAACACCACCCCAACCGGCCGTCACTTCGGGGTGTCGGTGTAGGGTTTAGGGATTTTGAGGTTTTTAGGGTTTAGGGATTTTGGGGCTGTTTAGGGTTTAGGGATTTTGACGAAAAACAGGGTTTAGGGATTTTGTGGCTGTTTAGGGTTTAGGGATTTTTGTGGTGGTTTAGGGTTTAGGGATTCAGGGAGCACTAGGGCTTATGGGGCTTAGAGGTTTTGGGGTTTAGTAATTTTTCGGTTCAGGGAGCATAGGGGGTGATGCTTAGGGACTTTACCTGGGGATCCCAAACCCTACTGTTTGGGGGGTGTGTAGACGCTCTAATTAAGGGATCCTAACTGAATCATAACCTTCTATTTTGTAGGGTTTGGGGACACAGGTATTCCTTTAATCATACTATGGATGATACTAAACTTCAAGGTATATTCCTGAATTCCCTTACAGAACCCTTGTAATTCCACGTTAAGGATCCCTGTACAGTTCTTCGTCCCAGTAGGCTGAGGACTGGACTGTCCTTGTTCGACCCCCGCCGGGAACTGCCTAGCTGAGCATCTTACGTGTCTACTTGGAGGTTCATGGGACTTCGCAAGTACACTTATAAGTAAAATGATTGGGGTTATGAGTACATATAACTGCAGTTACCTTGATTATAACCGTAGTTACTAAGTCCCATGAACCTCTAAGTAGTATCCTAGGGGAACTGAACGTTAATCCTTGGGATCATAGGGGGATTATAGTACCCCAAAAAAGATTAAAGGTTAGCTGCTCCATTACTAAGACATTCTCGAGATGCCAGGTCTTTTCCCTAAGGGTCCATATACTCGAACAGTATATATACATTGGCCTCGAGATACCTAAATAGGGACGACTGTAAGGCCAATGTATATACTACTTGGGTACATGGACCCTTCGGGTTTCCCCTAGCATAGAGTACTAGAGAGTGTAGAGACGGTCTGGGGTTTCGGCCGGGTTTAAGGGTTCGAGGTTCAGGAAAATCGAGACCCTGAACTCAAAACTTCTGTGCCACCAACAGTATGACATAGACATAGACTACGGTTTCTGCATACCAACACCCTAAATACACACTCACCATTCCTAGGGATGCTTATGTACACCCGCCAACACCTTCATTACAGCTGCGGACTGGCCACGATGCTGCAGAACCGCCCTGCGAAGACAGATGAACAAGTCAAAGGCTGAGCTGAGGCGAGCAGAGGTCGCAAGGAGCAAACTTGCCAGAACCACAGATTGTGCGTCCCACCGGCTAAATGGGCAAAGTTGGCATGAACGTTAGCCTGCAACTCAAGCAATGCATGTACTGCCAGCAAAGCTCATGGAAGCGGCCTGCGCAAGCAAGAGCCGCAGCACAAGGCGCTTCTTGTTATCAGAAACGTGCAAGACCTGTAATATAGTACCCTTATAGATCCCTTATAATAAGCCTTATAGACGCCTTTTAAGGGAACCCCTATTCTAATTATCAAGGCCCTGGAGCGCCCTGGCAAGTACAGCGTGCACAAGACCCCCAAACCCTGAACCCTAAACCCTAAAGGGTTTATTTAGAGGATCGTGGGACTTAGCAAGTGTGGTTATAAGTACCTTCGGGTTTAAGCAAGTAAAACTGTAGTCATCTTAATTATAACCCCAATTACTAAGTCCCATGATCCTTTAAGTACCCTAAAGCCAGACCTAAGAGTAACCTAGGAATAGAAAAGGGTGCCCTTTGTGGTTTAAAGGGGGTTTTAAGGGAACCTAAACCCTAAAAACGGGAATAAGGGACTACTCTAGGCCCTAAAAACCCTAAACCCGAAATCCTAAATCCTAAACCCTTAACCCTAATATGTAACTCCAGAGTCGAAGCCCATGCCGGTCCTAGAAAGGGTTTAGGGTTTGGCCATGGCAGCTGGGAAAGCTTGCTCTTCTCGACCACCTGAAGCTCTGATTCGCTGGGTAACATAGGGGCTTTAATATTCTGTTAAGGGATCTATCAAGGATCTATAGGGTTTAGGGTTTAGGCTGGGGGCCTTGATAATTGCCTAAGAGGATCCAAGTCCCAAAATAGTAGGGTTTCAGGTCCCCAACTCCATTCTCTGAATGGTTCTTGAAATTTGAAACCCTACCTACTATTTGCTTAAGAACCCCCAAAAAATAAAAAATGATAATCCCTATATTATCCCTATAAGGAATATATTTTTTATTTTTTGGGGGTTCTTAAGCAAATAGTAGCTACTATTTGGGTACTTGGACCCTTAGGGTTTATGAGATGACGTTGGGGAGAGGGCCTTGTGACCTAAAGCGATTGTTCACACGCCGAGACTTGTGTTCGGCCCGCGATTCATCCAACAACACTCAACTAAACCCTAAACCCTAAACCCTAATCCCCAATCCCTAAGCCCTAAACCCTTAACCCTAAACTCCTAAACCTTGACCGGGGCTCCTCGGGCAGCGTCTTGAAGCATCTTACAGCGAACCCACCCTGATATTAACACTAAATCGGACTAAAGCTTATAAGCACTATGATACTCTCATACAGCGCTTGTAATGGCCTTTTTCAACCTACAGCCCTGCAAACATTCATAATTCCTCAGGTAAAACACGGGCAACGGCCAATCCAAACCCTTAAGCCTAAAACATGGACCCTAACCTAGATACCCTCTATTCTACCATAAATACCCACTATTAATGTTTGACCATAAGCGCCCTGTTGAAGGGAACTTGGGTGTCCTGGAAATCCCCGAAATACTAAGTCCAAACCCTGAAAGCCTAAACCCTTTACCCTGAACAATAAAGCCTGAACCCCAAACCCTACACCCGAAAACCCTAAAAAACCCTTCTAGTACCCGTATAGATCCCTTATAGCAATCCTTACAGGAAGCCTGTAAAGGAACCCTAAACTAGGGCCCCAAAAAAGCACATAAGCAAAACTTAGGGTAGTGATATCCCATATAAATCCCCTTATAATGAAGCCCAATATGGTAGGGATATCACCATAAAATGCTTATGCTTATGTGCTTTTTTGGGTCCCTATAAACCCCTAAACCTGAAAACACTGGGAACAGCCGAGCGGCTTCGAGGTGGAAGCGGGATCTCCTTCTAGATTTCCAGAGGGTCCAAGTACCCAAAGTTTAGGGTTTAGGGTTTAGGGTTTTAGATCCCAAAATCCATACCCTGAATGGTTTTTGGACCTTGAAACCCTACTATTTGGGTACTTGGACCCTTAGGGTAAGGCTCTATGGCTCCCAAAATGGGGTTCCTTTAAGCGTTCCTTAAGGACCCACTATATACCTAGGCCTTAAGGTACCTATATAGGGTTCCTTTAAAGGGGCACTTGAAGGGGTCCTCTTAAGGGCTCCTTAAAGGGTTCTGTTTTAAGGGGTTCCTTTACAGGGTTTCAGGATTCCTTTCCAGGGTTCTATAGGGTTTAGGGTTCCGTTAACGGTTCCTGAAAAGGGTTCCTTTGAAGCGTTCCTTGAAGGGGTCCTGTAAAGGTTTAGGGTTTAGTGTTTATGGTTTGGTTCGGTCCTTTAAAGGGTCCTTTATAGGGTTCTATGGATAGGGTTGGCTCCATGTACCCATATATAGTATATCGCGTTAATGTACCTTAGTAGGGACCCCTTTACATAAGGCTTAAGTATCTACTATAAAAGTACATGGAGCCTTTGGGATTTCAGCAGCCGCACAGGGGCTGAAGTTTCTGGCTTTAATTATAGGGCTTTGGGTTTGGGGTTAGGGTTTAGGGTCAAAAGTTTGGGGTTAAGGCTTTAGGGTTTCGGGATTAAGGTTGGGGGGCTTGGGGTTCCTTGCAAATCTTTACTTCAAAGGGTCTATGAGGAAGGGTTCCTCTCGGGATTCTATGAGGGCTTAGCAGTTTAGGGTGTTGAGGTTTCTATGAGGGGTGAGGGGTTCAGGGCTCTGAGGTTCTAGAGTTGAAGGTCTATGGGGCTTAGGGCAGTTTAGGGTAATTAGGGTTTAGGGTTTAAGTCTATAGGCTTAGGGTCCCTTCAACTTGTTCTGTAGGGTTTCTACGGGGCTGAGTGCTTTCAGGCTTCAGGCTCAGGGTTGAACTCTATTGGTGGGTTCAGGGTCTTCAGCGCATCGGTTTTCAAGTCTGAACGGTTTAGGGTTTGTAATAGGCTTTAGGGTTTACTGAGCCAACAACGCCTAATTAAAGCCCTAAACCCGAAACCCTAGACCTCTAAACGACATCTTCATGCCAAAACCATAAACTTTCCTGAACCTTATAAATTACATTATACACAAACAACCCTAAACCCGAAACATCAACAAACCCTAGACTAGACCCTAACCCTAAAAACCCTAAGCCCCAACAAATCCTTGACCCTAAACCCTACTTGGCGGGGCAAGGGACTTGGTAAGTAGGATATAAGTACCCTAAGGAGTTACCCCAATTGTAACCCTACTTAAAAACGACTTACTAAGTCCCCACCCTGCAAGTAGACCCTATACCCTAAACCCCATAGATCCCTTTAAGGAGCCCTTAGACCGTCCTCAGCATGATCTGTCTTGTCATAGCGCCGGCCACCTGCGGCAAGAGCGAAGAGACCAGGGGCCGAGGCCTAGAGACAGGATAGGCGGCACCCTGCTACAAACACCAAACCTTAAGGCCGGGTTTAGGAGTTAGGGGTAGAGCTTTGGGGTTCAGGGTTTCGGGTTTCCAAGGATTTAGGGTTCAGAGGTTTAGGGTTTAGGGTTGATACGGGATTACCGTTTCATGATAACACACTACAGGCACTTGACAGATGCAGGCAGACACCCTTAAGGAACCCAATAACAAAAAACACATGAGCACATGCACGAACCGGGTTCGTGCATGTGGAACCCTGGCAGAAGCCCTTAAAACCCTAGTTTATGAACCAAAAACCTACGCAGGCCCTTACACAAACCTCCCTAAACCCTAAGCCCAAAACCCGAAACCCCTAATCCCTAAACCCTGATCCGTTTAAAGGAACCTGTGACCCCAAACCCTATAAAATAGTAGGTTAGGACCCCTTAATTAGAACCCTTAAAACGGTAGGTTTTCGGATCCACAGGTAATCCCTAAACCCTAATACACTAAAGTTTATGAGCATCACTTTAAACCCTAAACCCTAAAACCCTAAAACCCTAAACCCTAATCCCTAAGCCCTAAGTCCATGCAGCCCTGGGAGCCCACATCCTTACAAACCCTTCAAATCGAACCTCTAAGGCCCTCAACGACTTTATAGAACCCTGTGAAGACTTTTCGCTGCGAAGCCCCTAAACCCTATAGGGTTTAGGGTTTAGGGTTTAGGGTATAGGGTTTAGGGTTTAGGGTTTAGGGTATAGGGTTTAGGGTTTAGGGTTTAGGGTTTAACCCCTAAACCCGAAACCCCAAAACCCTAAACTCTTAAACCTCTAAACCCCGAAACCCTAAACCAGCCCTAAAGAAAAGACCCTACGCCTCGGCTCGGCCGTTGCCGAGACGAAGAACGCACGGCGACGGCAGCCATAGCGCCATGCAACGCAAGGAAGGAAGTCTTCGGGCCCTTGCAGGGTTTAGGATTTCGAGTTCCTTTAAGGGTTCTTATAAGGATGACTATAAGGGATCTATAAGGGTTTGGGTTTAGGGTTTAGGGCATATGGCCCGGCGGTTTAGAGTTTAGGGGTTTAAGGATTAGGGCGATTAAGGTTTAGTCATGGGTTTCTGCGGCTTTAGGCTTAGACTGTGCTCAAGGATACACAGTCTAGGTTTCTAGGGCGTTCTAGGGTCCAGTGTGTTGGGGTTAAGGGTCTTTGGCGACTCACCGGATAGACTTCCGGGTTCAGCCTCAGATAGGGGCCACAATGCAAAAAACCTGGTTAACCTCGATCTTTCCTGAGGCTGGGGGCATGGGGACAATGGCTCCACAACACCTACAACGAGGAGCCCAGCTGAAAGGACGTCATGGAGGTTGCGAGTGCAACAGGGCTTACAGTTCAGGCTCAGAGTGCCATGCCCTAAACCCTAAACCCTGTAAAACATTAAACCCTAAAGCCCTAAACCCTAAAACCCTAAACCCCTAAACCCTAAAACCATAAACCCTAAATCCATAAACCCTAGAACCCTAAAAAACAGGGAGTAACATCCCGGGATTCAGGGCACAGGCCTAGCCGTCGAAAAGGTCTCGGTCTGTCGATCCCCTCCCTTTCTGATACTTGAAGCCCTAAACCCTCAATCCTAAGCCCGAAATGCGAAACCCCGAAACTCTATCTAGACTCTCAGCCCTAAGCCAAGCCCTAAACTTTAAGCTCCAAACCTTAAACCCTAAAGCCCTGATCCTGTGCACTGGCAGCATGGCAGGATTCCATGCAAAGTCGAAGCGGCCATGAATAGATGTTCCATCGTTTGGTTTATGGCTTAGGGTTCCTGTATAGCGTCAGTCCTACCCAAGTGCTCCATCTAGCTGACTAGTATTTTAGATTGTGATGCTAGGCCCCCGCAGATCACATAAGCATCATCAAACTTTTGGATGCTACACTCATGGGTACCGGTACAGTCTTTCAGTAAATAGATGGCATATACATCTCTTTGGAACCCGTGAAAGTATTACAGAACCTGAGAGATCTCTTCAACTTTGAAATTCGTCGATTTTCCAAATTGCTCCTTGAATCAAAGAGGCTTTGTACGCTTGAAAAGGTGCCTAGAGACGGCTGGGTTTTCCCTTTTTGTTTGAAGGGTTACATCAGCGTTTAGAGTTTGGGGTTAAGGGTTGAGTATGACGGTCTGCGAACCTCAATCCCTCAACCCCAAACCCCGAACCCCTAGTGCCCCAACCCTAAAACACACAGAGACACACACACACACACAACCCTAAACCCTAAACCCTAAGCCCAAAACCCAAAACCATAAAAGCCCTCAACCCTGAACCCTAAACACAATTGATGGAGAAACTCCCTCCCTGGGTCCGGGGAAGTACAATGTGGCCCTGTGGACCGCGCGGTGGAGGCGAAAGCCTCGAACTCCCAAATCCGAGAGTACCTGTTCCAGATACAAGGTTCGGGATCCAGGATTTGCCCTAGGCATCTAAGGACTCATATATTAAGGCTTTTGGGCCCAAAGACCTTATATATAAGGCTTTTGGGCTATGTTGATGCCCAGGGTTAGGGGCTTAGGGGGTTTAGGGTTTAGGGCCCAGGATCCAGGGTTTAGGGACGAGGGTGGACCAGCACCCCTCAAGTACCTTCTTTTGTACCCTAATAACCACTATTACGGACCATGAGGGCTCTATTGGAGGCTGCTTGGGGAGTGCTGGTAGGTGGTTCTAGATATAAATCCTGCATTACCTTAAGGACCCTAAACTATGGGAGTTATGGTATATTCCTTATTATGGGTAATGCCGGATTTCTATCATCAACCGCAGCACCCCCCAAGTACCTTCTTTTGTACCCTACATACCACTATTTGGACCATGAGGGCTTTACCAAAGGGGGTGCTGGTAGGGGTTTGGGGTTCTAGATGCCCTGATGTGGGTGTTAGCCGAAGCATGCCCTTTAAACCGCTTAGGATAAAGTAACCAGGGACAAAAAAACATAGACTTCCATATCATATTGATTCCTTTAAGATAAATTTTTAAAGTATGGTACACCCACGCCCAGTATAAGCAGGGTTTAGAGAGCTCAGATTCGGCCTTCAACCCTAAACCCGAAACCGTGGCCAGCCCCAGAAGCTGCAAAACCCGCGTGGCATCAGGCAAAAGTTGCAGCATTGTCCGACAAGATGCAGACGTAACCCTAAGGCTCCATGCACCCTTGTGGTATATGGGTGGTTGTCAACATTATGGCACCTTTGTGGGGTACCCTAGATATTAGGTGCCGTATTACAATAGAGACCCCAAAAAGGGACCGTAATTTTGACAACCACCCATATACTTCGGCCTTAAAGCCTTAAACAAGCTATATAGGGACCCATAAGTACATGGAGCCTTTAGGTAAGACCCTCAACCCTGAACCTTTAATCCTTAAAGCCCTAAACGCCTAAAACCCTCAACCCCTCAACTCCTAAAGCCCTAAACCCGGAATCGGATCCCTAATTCAAAGACAGGGCCCTAAACCCTAAACCCTAGACCCTAAACCCTAAACCCTAAATTCAAAAACAGGGCACTCCACGGGTAGGTCTTCGTAGGGATCCCAAGTGGAGGTGCGGAAGCTCTTGAGCCCGCGATACCTGGGGGGATTAGGGGCTTATAGGGATTTTTAAGGACAATAGGGATTACAGGGATTATAGGGATTATAAGGATTATAGGGATTATAGGGATTATAGGGATTATAGGGATTATAGGGATTATAAGGATTATAGGGATTGTAAGGATTATAGGGATAATAAGTGGGGGATTACTTAAAGGATCATGGGACTTAGCAACTAGGGTTCCTTAAAGGGTCCCTTTAAAGGGATCTATAGGGTTCCTTACAGGGATCTATAGGGTTTAGGGTTTAGGGTCTACTTGGAGGGTCGGGGGACTTAGTAAGTAGGTAGTAAGTAGACTTATAAGTACCCTAAAAGGGACCCTAATTTGGGTTATGATACTTATAAGTCCCTAAGATAACCAGTTACTAAGTCCCCCGACCCTCCGAGTAGGGGTTTATAGGGATTATGAGGATTATAGGTGGGGATTACAGGGTTCATAACGGATTAGGGGCTTATAGGGATTATAGGGATTATAGGGTTTATCGGGCTTATAGGGTTTATAGGGTTTGTGGGGTTTAGGGTTGGTCCTTCAAGGATTCCTTTACAAGGATCCTTTTAGGGTCCCTTCAAAGGTCCGTCTGAAGGGATCCTATCGAGGTTCTTTAAAGGGATCCTTCAAAGGCTCCTTTCAAGGATCTATAAGGTTTCCTTTAAAGGACTGGGGAGTAAGGTTTGGGTTTTAAGCTCTGTCTTAAGGCTTTTAGGTTCCATGCAGGGTTCCTTTGAAGGGCTCCTTCAAAGTTGTTACTTTAAGGGGTTATCGAATACCGGGTTTAGGCTTCAGAGTTGCAGGATGTGGGTTAAGGGATTTAGAGAGATATAGGGGTCAGGGTTGCGGGGTTTCGGGTTTGGGGGCTCTTCATGTGGGTTGTATAGAGTATTTGTGTTAGGTGTTTTGGGAATTGATTGAAGGTCATTGGAGCATCTTTGATTGTGTTTCGTTTCGTAATATGCGTTAACTTCACATTCCAAAATCCACTGAAAACCCTAAACCCTAAACCCATCCTGTTCCTTTGGAACGACACGGTTTCGCGAGGATCAGGCCGGGCGGAGTGGCATTGAATTGAAGGTTCAACTCCATGAGTCTTACAGGATCCATATGGGTGGTTGTCAAAATTATGGTCCCTGATTGGGTACTTATTACAATACGGCACCTATTATTTAGGGTACCCAAAAAGGGACCATAATTTTGACAACCACCCATATGACTTGTACGAAACCCATTCAGACCCCTATAAGGTTGTTGTAGAATGTGATAGACTCAACTATAACATAGCCGCCGTCTCTAATAACACTCTATAGCCTATGAGGACCAACATCCCGCAATGTCGCAGGAAACTGTCACCGTCACCCAGAGGGTATAGACATGATACCATGATGGAATCAGCTCCAAGAAGATCATTATGGCTTTTGATTTCGAGGCCTAATTCCATAATAGAAGTGCATATAGACCCGTTTGGTCAGGGTTTAGGGTTAAAACCTGGCCAACGAAACGATCTCAAATCGGTGGGGAGCAGGGCTGTAGGCACAGATCCCTCAAGGACCGACGACCCCGACTGTAAACCCAACAAAAGAAGAAAGTCAGTCAAGCTCCAAACTCTTGCCAGTGAAAAGAAAGTTCAAACTCCGCGAAGTGGCGGGCTTGAAACCTGAACCCCATAATATCAGGGGCTTGATAATTAGAAAAGGGTTTTGGGGACGATTATACTTTTAAGTATAATCAGGAACCCCTCAAAATAGTAGTGGCAATTATTTCTGCCCCTATACTAGACCCAAACCCTCCGCCCTGCACCGCCTCTGGCAGAAACCGGGCCCTTTGGACTCACAGCGCTGCGGGTTTGACCGGAAAAGAGTCCAAGAAACGAAACTCAAAGGGGAAAAGGAGGGACCCTTAATGGGGACCCCTACCCTATAATGGGTTATATAACGGGTATATAATGGCTATATTAAGGGCATATTACCTAGGGGTCCTTATTAAGGGTCCCTCCTGTTCCCCTTGGAGAAACCGTTACTCTGATTCCTCGACCCAGGAGTAACCTCGAAATAAAAATGAGGGTGCCCTTTTTGGGTTTAAAGGGGCTTATAAGGGAACCTGAACCCTACAAAAGGGAATACGGGCCTAGTCTAGGTGCTAGGAGGGTTGCGGCTTGGAGTTTAGATTTAGGGTTTGTGGCTCCTTACGCTACTCCCTAAACCTCTGCAGCCGGAGCTCACGAGTTGGGGTATAGGGTTCAGGTTTTCAGGTAATGCAGGGCCTTAATAATCAGAACATGCTTTTGGTGTATA